TCCGTTTAACTTGTTTGTAATCGTAGTTTACGTAGCAGGTACAACGCTCTGTACACTTAGGGGAACAGCTATGAAAAACCTTAAAGTTTTGAAGAAATCATTGAATAACTATAACACCACTAATGTGATGGCTCAGAACAAAAGAAAAGGAAAATGTAAAATAACTGACCATAAAAAAACTTTCTTAAAAGGAATGAAAACTGATCATTGATCTAGAGGGTTTGAGCCGGGTCAATGATTCAGAGGCTTCTGTTGGAACACATTTTTCACAAGTCAAGTCAGCCTGCTTTGCTCATCAGTGAGAGCTGGCCGCAGGAGAAACCATCCAGAGATTAAGCTTATCTAGAAGGTACTGAAACGTTGGATGAGAAGGCGTGCCAAGAGGCCTAAGCAACACCAGTGATTAAAGCCTGGCAGTAAACTTCCATTACAAGTCAGCCAAGCCCACAAGGAGGACCAGGATAGTCATAACCCAGAAGATTGGGATTTAAGGAAAAGGGAACACATGATTCCAGGAATGTATCCTGGAGAGCACGTAATGATTAGTGACAGGTTGAGTTTCCCTTATCTGAAATGCTTGAGACGGAAGTGTTTCAGATTATGGAGTTCTTCAGATTACTGTAACACGTTTTAAAAAATGATTTTAATAATCACCATATATTTCCATCACCCCTTGTACAATTAAAACAATTTTTAAATGGGTGAAACTAAATAATCACTTTAAACCGTAATGATTTTCCAGTAGCACAATGCATTCACATTGTTTTTCCCTGCTGGTCCTCATGTGAAGTTGAGAGGGAAGTGTTGTTTTATTTTACGCTGGAGAAAATGGAATTGAACTGACCTTTTTTTTTTTTTTTTTTTGGTACCAGGGATCGAACTCATGACTGTGTGCTTGCAAGGCAGGCACTTATGCCGCTGAGCTAAATCAGCCATTGACTCTTTTTTTTCAATTCACAGCTAGTAAGTGCCTGCTGGAAATCCAGCTTAGAACTTTGACTTTTTTAAGTATCAAGCTCTTCATAGTAAGATTGATGTTTGTCTTCTATAAATGTTAGTTTTTTTATAAAGAAGCAATAGGATTTGTTTTCCATATGCGTAATACATTTTCTATCCTTTCAGCTACTATGCAATTCATATTATAATGAATTGGTCAGAGCATCGGAAATAATTAATACCAGAACTTAGACTTTTGGGTAGTGTAAAATATATTTGAATTTTCAAATATTTGATGTTCATACAGCTTTTTCCAGCATAGTTCTTTTTTGAGTTAGTGGTTCTTTTTTTTTTTTTTTTATTGGTACTGGGGATCGAACTCATGACCGCCTGCTTGCAAAGCAGGTGCTTATGCTGCTGAGCTAAATCCCCAGCCCCATCGTTCTTTTTGAAACAGGATCTCTTTATGTAGTCTAGCCTGGTTTAAACTTTCGATCCTCCTATCACATATTCCTGAGTGCTGGATTATAGGTGTGTGCCACCATGCCTGACAAGCATAGGTTTTTCATAGAACTTTCTTCTGTGTCATGTTAGAGGGACAATGTGGTGTAGAATGATGCTTTCCAAACTTTAATGGCACAAGAATTGTTGGGATTCTTAATTGCTTTTTAGTTAGGGCCAGAAAACTGTAGGTCATTCTGGTAGAAGTGGTCCTGGGGCAGTATTTGGAAACACTGAAAGGAGTATTTACTTTTTTTTTTTTTTGTCTGTTTCGTTTTTATCGGTACCGGGGATCGAACTCACGACTGGCTGCTTGCAAGGCAGGTGCTTGTGCCGCTGAGCTAAATCCTCAGCCCCATATTTACTTTTTTAAAAAATTTTTTAAATTTTTATTTTAAAGGGGGTATAATTAAACACAAGAAAACAGAACAAAATAGGACATAAAAAAGCAATGTAAGAGATATAAACTTCAAACCTAGACGACCCAAGATCTTCACTGTCTATCATATTGTCTCTTGTTTTCTTCCAAATAGTTGTCCATGTCTTCACATACAGAGAATTCATACAAAACAACATAGTATAAAACTGATATGAACTGAAGGAGGAAGGCATTTTAGGTCTTCAAAACCAGACAATAGGGAGGTCACTAATGGCTGTCATAGAGTCTCTTGTTCTCTTTAAAACAGCTGTCCATACTTTCATGTATATTGAAGTTCAACAAAACAAAACAGGCAGGAGGGGAGGGGTTGCCTGGTTTCCCGGCGCTCCAGGTCCCGGCATGGCATGGGTCCCAGTAAACCTGGAGGCTCCCATACTGAGCCGTTGCAGCCTGCCACACTGACAGCCACTCATGGGGCAGGTTTGCTTCAAGCTGTTTCTTTCAAATGAATTGACCATTTCACTGCGCAAGTTCTGAAATGGCCCACAGACCATAGAAAGACATCTCTTTAGACTTCTGCTTGAAACCAACAGTGTCAAGAAGCTGCCGGCCTTGATTCAGAGCCAGTGGAGTATCTACTTTAAAAATTAGTGGGAATGATCTGTCCTACAGTACTTTTTAAATTCTTGGCATAGAACTTGGTACCTAATAAATGTTCAGAATATTCTATTCATAGGTGATGACATGGCTGCAACTAAGAAGTCAGAGAATATTCATTGTTTTCATATTCTGTATTTCCTGTATGTTGCAGGGGTTGGCAGATCTGAAAGGACAATGGATAGTTCTTTTGCAGAATTTATTTGATAGACTAATGATAAAGTTCTAATTCTTCTCTTGTAAAATATTGTAAAATAAAAATTAATATTGAAGACATACTTATATAAAATCTTTTTCCTGGAAATCAAAAATTCATGTTTTATTTGAATGAGACCTACAGGGCAAGGAAATGGGTCTGCTTTTTTTTTTTTTGCGGTAGTGGGGATCGAACTCATGACCTCGCACTTGCCAGGCAGGTGCTTGTGCCACTGGCTAATCCCTGGCCCTAAGGGCCTGCTTATTATTTTCCACATTTTGTTACTGCTGCAAAACTCTGTTACCCAGTGTAGCTACAACAGCAGCTATTTAATTTAAATGATTTAAAATTAAATAGCAGTAGAAATATAGGTTCTTGGTGGCATTAACTACTCTTAGGGGCTCAGCGGCCACCTGTGGCTGCAGTGGTTGCCTTACCGGACAGTGTGGATGTGGGCTGAACGTGTCCATCACTGCACAAAGCTCAGTTTGACAGTGGTGCTGTAGCCCAGAACAGCAGAGCAGTGGTTTTCCAATGGTCTGTATCTCTAAATTGATTTTTTTTTTGTCTTTTTCATTTTTATCGGTACCAGGGATCGAACTCATGACCGCCTGCTAGCAAGGCAGGTGCTTATGCCGCTGAGCTAAATCCCCAGCCCCTCTAAATTGATTTTGAGGTGAATATTAGTAGTGGATTGAGGCTACCACTTCTACTGAAAAAAATTTTTTTTTAAAAAATTTTGAGGCAGAGTTTTGCCAAGTTGTACAGGTGGAATTCAAACTTGCAACCCTCTTGCCTTAGCCTTTCTCAGTGCAGGGTTGACCCCAGAACTTTTTACATTTTTTTATTTTGAAATACAGTCTCACCAAGTCACTGGGGTCAAACTTGAGATCATCCTGTCTCAGCCTCCCAGAGAGCTAGGTCTACAGTGTGTGCCACTACCATAGCTCCATTTCAACTCTTACTAGATTTTTTTCTCTTTTTTTTTGGTACCAGGGATTGAACTCACAACTTTGAGTCTGCCATGCAGCAGTTTGTACCACTGAGCGAAATCCCCAGTCTCCATTTCAACTCTTAAGTGCTTTAATACCTTCAGATGGAATAGGCCCTGGGCCACTATTGATTTGCATTAGTAATGTCAGTATACAGCAAAGAGAATCTAAATACTAATTCTGGGCTTTTTTTTTTTTTTTTTTTAGCTTCAGAATAATACATTATTCTACTGCATAAGCATAGTTTTCTGTGTGTGTGCTTGTGCACGTGTGTGTGTGTGTGAGCATGAGAGAGAGAGAAAATTCTACATCCCCTTTTTTTGGTACCAGCACTTGAACTGAGGACCCTGCCCTTGCCAGGCAGGTACTTACACTGCTGAGCAATATCCCTGGCCCAAAAATTGCCCATTCTGTTAATTCAAAATTCATTGTGTATATTAAACTATCATTTAAAGCACTATACTTGTTCTAACTTTGTATCCAACAATCTTCTGGGAATGAATAAGAATTGGATTTCATCTATGCTAAGTAGAATTTATAGCATTTTCATGAAATTATCTATAGCAGCCAAATTTAGGAGTAATGAAAAGTTGAGGGGACATTGCCAGAATTCTACTGGAAATGATACCTTTTGTGCGTTTTTTTTTTTTGTTTCATTTTGTTTATTTTGAGACATGGTCTTGCTGTGTTCCATTTTGACTTTGAACTCGCTGTGTTGTCCAGGCTGACTGACCTTGAACTGGCAGTCTTCCTGCAGCAGCAGTCTCCCGGAGTGCTAGGATTATTTGTGGTTGTGTGCTACCATGCCTGGCTTTTTCTCTCAAAAAGTTAATTATGATATATTTGTGTTTTGGTAATTGAAAAACTAAAAACAATTTTCTCAGTATTTTGTTGTTGTTGTTCGTGTTAGAACCTGTGTATAACATCCCGTAGCACTCATTACACTCTGATACCTAGGCTGTGGATGATGCACTTGTTTTCAGAGTTCAAAAAAGGAGTTGCAGGTTGGGCATGTTGCTCAGTGGTAGAGTGTTTGCTTGGCTTGCTTGAGGCCTTGACTGCAATTGCCAGTACCATAAAACAAAGAAAGAGAAAGGAAAGAAGGGGAAAAAGGATATGTGTTGCACTGTTTCTTAACCTTTGTTTCTTGAACAGGAGCTCTGTATTGTTGGAGGTAGAGCCTGCCTTTTGCCCCCTTCAGATCTCCCTGTTGTCCCTTTCTTAGCAGAGAGGCGACAGAAGAGCTATCACTGTCCCAGGTCATGGTGAGCATGACTGAAGTCATTGAAATCATTTTGTGCATTACTGCGGTGTCCTTCAGTGAGCTCTGTCTTTCTAGGTCACTTACTTCAGCCTCTGGTACTACAACAAGCAAAACCAGCGCCGATGGGTGGATTTAGAAAAGCCCCTGAAGAAGCAGCTGGATAAGTACGCGCTGGAACCCACCATCTATTTTGGAGTGGTGTTTTATGTGCCTTCAGTTTTACAGCTGCAGCAGGAGATTACCAGGTGAGAAAGCACAGCCTCTTGTTTTCTGCAAATAATCTGGTGAGATTAGAAAAGTAGAATAAGGTTGAAGGTAGGAGATAAGAGTCTGAAACTTTGCCCTCTCAGCCCATGCTTGTAGCCAGCCTATTACCAGCGCTTCTGGTATGCACTATGTCATCAGAGGTTTACTGCCTGTCCGGTGAATAATGGGTTCACTAGGCGAGGAATGATTAAAGGGGAAATGATGTTTTTACCCTGGCTGTAAACTCTTCTCATACTGGTGTTTCCTTTTATTGTTTTGATTTTTGATCTTTTGTAACGAGTAAATGAGAGAAGAGAGTTTAAAAATGTAGTCTCAGAATCTGTATTCATTCCTCAAGCAAATGCTGAAGGTTCTTACAGCTCTCCAACTCTGAGAGCTATATTTATAGAAAGAACCTGTGTGGGCAAACCACAGAGAGGGCGGGGCAGGGGTTTACAATCAGAACATGCTGGCCAGTGAATATGCCTTGAAGGTCTGAAAGCAGAAAAGGAAGATGATATTCAGAAGAACACCAGAGGAACTAAATGTTATTTAATTTTTTTTCCCTGAAGGACAATTAAAATAAAAAACAATGGAATAAAACTTGAGTTCTTGGCAACTCAATGGAATAAAACTTGAATTCCGAGAGTGTAGCTCACTAGTAGAGTGCTTGCCTGGTACACTTGAAGCCCTGAGCTTAATCTCCATCCCTTGAAAGGGGAAAAAAAATTGAACTTTTGAGCTTGCCCAAGTTACCTAAATCCAGCAGTACTTTATAAACCTCTGTGACAGTGCTCTGGAGCCAGGCTGCACTAGTTCCCACATGCCAAGCACCCTTCCGCCTTTGAGTCCCAGATCTTCCTCTTGTACAGATGTGTCAGAATCATCCCGTTCATCTTCTGAACTCTGCGGCTCCCAGGTTGGAATGAGCGTTGCCTGCCTCCTCCAGGCTGGCTTACAACTGCTGTACTTTGGTGAGGACAGCAGTTATCACCGCCCCTCACTGGGGTTTTTTGTGTGTATATCTTATCTGTTTCCTAGACTTTAAGTCCATGTTTGTCTTTAGCTTTCCATTTCTTTTGAAAGCTAGGCAGAACCTGGTACAGCCCCATGCTCCTGGAATGCTGCTTGAGCCCGCAGTTAATTATTGGAAGAGAATGGAAAACCAAAGAAGTTTCAAAGATCAGGTGCAGGGAAAAACAAATACTAACTGTGAAACTGGCCTGAAATATCAGTGTTGAGAAGGAAGTGAAAAGCTGATCTCTTTCACTCATGTAAACATGTGTTGATACACCGTGAAGATCAAAGAATTCTGTTGGGTAGTATGGGAGATGATACATAATTGTGCATTCTTCATTTGCACTGTGGAGGAACTGGCAGTTCGTATAAATAAATAATTACAGTATCCTAGGATAATAAATGCTTCAATGGAAGCTCTGGGATCCTAGGAATGAGGTGTAAAGAGCCTGACTGCAGAGGTAAAGAAGTGGTCTTTTGGTTGAATAAGCTTTAGCAGGGGTTTTTAGTTTGTGCAAAGCAGCAGGAATATGACCGATATGACCTGGAGAGGTGAGAAAAGGTTTAAACAACAGGTTCATATTAGTCATAAAGTCATAGCCCTGTGAGGAAGACTTTTTTCAGCTTTTAATGGAATGGAATGATCAAATTTGCATTGTGCAGAGATTAACCGTAATGAAAGGTCAGTTAGAGGCCATAAGACCTCTCAGTTAGAATAGAGGTGGCTGCAGGAGGCCAGTTAGGAGTGCCTACAACATGATTTAGCATCATCTAGAAAACAGGCCAGAACAAAGACATTAGAGAGAATAGGCCTATTACATTCATTCAGTAGGATTAATTGATTGAGTACAGGAAAACTTAAGAAATACTGTCAGTACGGATTAAGTATGACCTTAAATAACAAAAAGAACCCAAGTATTCTGTAAGAGGTCTCAAGAGCCCTTACTGCCTCTTCCTGTTACACTTTTTCAGCATTTTCTCCATTCACTAGGTTACTGTGTAGCACACGACATCTAGAAACCTTCTAGCCATCATCTGTATTTTTTTCTTTTTTCTTTCTTTCTGAGACAGGGTCTCACTGTGCAGTTCAGGCTGGCCTTGAACTCACTTTGTAGCCCAGGCTGGCTTGGAACTCCCAGTGAATCTCCTGTCAGCCTCCCAGACCTCTGGGATTATGGGCGTGTGCCACCAAGCCCAGCTCCGTCACATGTGTTGTGCAGTGAGTGAGCAGAGCCCAGCCGTGGTTTTCTAGGGGAGGGGCATGGGTAGGCGGGAAGGATGATGAGGTATACAAAGGAACTGTAGCAGGTGGCCTGTGTGTTGCCTTGTGGCAGTGATTTTGTGAATTCTTTGATGTGTCGGAACTACGTGTTAACTCTGTGTGATGAACCACATTGCTAATTATATCTCAGAAAATGCGCCACCATTCAGAGATACTTTAAGGAAGAAAAGTGTTTGTGTGGGGTGGGGGGCTCTAAATACAGTCAGACCTTGGTACTGTGTTTGGTGGCTCTGAAACATCAGATCTGATACTTTTACACAAATGTTCCATCTAGATACTTGCTGTTCGTTTGGCACTTGCTACACAAGCTAGAAATTCTTGTGCATTGCTTGCCGTGTGACTCTCTCCCCTTTCTAGTCAATACACTTTGTTGGGTTCTTGTTGTTTTTAGTTCTCATGGTGCCTCTTGGAGTGAATTAACAATGAGTGTTCAAAAGACGAAGATTTGCCAGAAAAGGATGTCCACAAACACTAGAAAATGGCCACCAAATATTACAAAGTGAACTAAAGAAACTTAAGAAGATAACATGTATTTAAATCCAAATTAGATGAGCTTAGGAAAGGTCTGCCTAAATAATAATAAGAGAATAGGAAAATAAAACTACTCCAGGTAAGAAAAGAATTAGAGATAATTTTAAAATGATAGAAACAGTATAATTTAGAAGACAAGACCAAAAATTATAAAAACAAAAACAAAAATTAGATGTTAGAGGATTCTCTAAAGGAGAAAGTCAGCACATCAGTGAAGACAAATTCTTAACACTGTGGTAAAACTTCTTTGAAAGACTAATGACCTGAAGCTGTATATTGAAAGGACAGTGTGCCCAGAACTCAACCTCGAGTCTTCAGTCCTAAGCTATGTCCTGCAAGATCACTGGAAATTGAATATGTAGACAAGAACTCTGTTATTCGTGAATCAAAGAAAAGAAGATGGTGTCAGACCTTTGGAAGAACACTTCATGAGAGCGGATAAAAGAGTAACACTTAACATACTCAAGGAAAGAGACCGTGAGGCAATATATCCTGCAAAAATGACCCCTAACTATGTCTTAGCTTGGAATGCCATATTAAAATACCACAGAGCACTGGCTTACCAGAAATGTCTTTTCTCACAGCGGGGAGATCTGAGCGTTTTGGGTGTGGCGTGGGCTCTCTTCCTGTGCTGCAGACCTCCCTGGGCTCTCACACGGCAGAGGAGTAAACTGTCTGGTTTTTATAAAGTACTCATATTCTTATAAAAGACTCATCATGAAGCCTCCACCCTCACAGCATCATCTAACCCTCATATACTCCTAATGCTCCATCTTTAGGAATCATCACATGGTGGGTTAGAGCTATAACTTAGCATTTGGTGGTGGTGGTAAGAACAGGTCAGTCCCCAACAGAGCATAAAGGCCTAAACATTTGAGGACATGCAGGGACTTGGATTGTTTTTGCATCCTCTAAGGGAACAATCAAATAACCCATCTTCAGTCAAATAATGATTAAACAAGCGCCTGTAAGGTCTGGTGCTCTTGGAGCTAGAAGCAGTGACAAATAGGTAGTAATGAATACTGTGACTCATGATTTTGGTCTAATATTTTCCATAAGGGGGATTGGAATTCCACTGGGGAGATAGTTGTCAGGGCAAGCCTGAGACCATGGGAAGCTGAGATCACTGATGTCAAAATACCTACTAACTTATTTGAAGAAATTTTTACTTCAAAAGAGGAAATTTGGAGTATCATGAAGAATAATGACTATATAGATGGAAATACAGCATTATATAATTTTTTTTTTTTTTTTTTTGTACCGGGGATCAAACTTACAACGTTGTGCTTGCCAGGCAGGCATTTGTACCTCTGAGCTAAATCGCTGGCCTAGCAAGTATGTTTTAAAAATTCATCAGTTTATAATATGTTACTTCCTGATTTTTTTTGGTTTTTTTGTGCTCTTTTTCTGTCGGTACCGGGGATCGAACTCATGACTGCCTGCTTGCAAGGCAGGTGCTTATGCCGCTGAGCTAAATCCCAGCCCCTACTTCCTGAATTTTTATCAAAAGGGGAAGTGATACAGAGGAAATACTGCTGATTGACTCAAAGTGCATGATTGCTGATAATAACAGCTATTGTTTGAGTACCAGCTACTTTCCCAATCTTCTTACTGAAAATGCTTCGCCCTTTGAAGGGGTTATGGCACAAGCGTGCCTGTGTAAGTACAGTCAAGGATATCTTTGTTACTCTTCAAAACCACCTGGAGTTAAGATTTCATTTGACCTTGGGGCTGGAGATTTAGCTCAGCGGCATAAGTGCCTGCCTTGCAAGCAGGCAGTCGTGAGTTTGATCCCTGGTACCGATAAAAAGGAAAAAGACAAAAAAAAAAAAAAAAAAAGATTTCATTTGACTGGTTTATGTTCTTCTACCAAATATTGGTGAAATGCTTTATCTTGATGGAAGATAATACTGTCTTTATAAAAATTGACTTTTTTTAATAGGTATCAGTATTATCTGCAGCTGAAGAAAGATATCTTGGAAGGAAACATTCCTTGTACTTTAGAACAAGCAATTCAGCTAGCAGGCTTAGCTGTTCAAGGTAAATAATGCATGCTAAGTGATTGAAGTAATAGTTGTATCTGATTAAAATGTGTTCTAACAAAAACAGTAATGGTTTCTTTAAGTATCTCTTTAGTGATATGTTTATGAAAAAAATATGCGATTATTTAAGGGGCTCCCTTGTAGAAAGGAATCAATTTGAATTACTTTAATGAAATATGGACTTTTGGAAGGGTAACCATGTTATATGTCTAAAGGTGTAGCAGTCCAGTGAATAGAAATACAAGCTTTTTTGGGAGGTGCTGAGGATCAAGCCCTGCCTTGTACATGCTCAGCAAGTACTGAATCACTAAGCAACACACTCAGTCCTCACACGCATTTTCAGTTGTTTAAATCTTTCACTTTTTACCTGTTTAATGTACATGTGGTTACATATATGTGTGTACTCTGGAATGATTTCTGATAGAATGTCATTTCAAATGATGAGTGACATTTAACCTTAAGAAGTGAAATTATTTTTTATTTAACGAGAAAAAAAAAGCAGTAAAAGGGTCTAAGTAATACAGAATTTCAAGAAAAAAAATATACAATAAGAAATCACTAGTTAGAAACAGTTGTCCAAATTACAAAATTAAAGCATACAAAGTGGACATTCATACAGTGAGATTGCAGACAGTTCTGTTCAGTGATCCAACAAAAACTGAGTAGTATGGTTTTCTATCCTACACACTTAAATATACATGCAGTTATATCCTTTAGACCGCTTTCTTTTCCTCTCTTTTTTACAATAACAATTACACTTTTTGGGTTTTATTACTCCCACAGTTCTTATAACTTTTTTTTTCTAAAGAGAAAAAAAAAAAACCCCAAATGTGACAAAGCAAAACAGAGTCAGAACAGAAGGATGGACATAGTACATGATGCAAAAACAGAATACCAGGTGATCAACAATGATTACCGTTATGTCTCTTGCTATCTTAAAAAGAGTTGCCTATATCATCAGGTGTAATAGAATTGACCAAAACAGTACAGAACAAGACAAATAAAACCTACATTGGAGACCTTACAGGACTTCAAAAGAAGATAATAGTCAAACCATAATGGGCATCATAGTAAATCTTATTGCCTTCAAAGTGGTTGCCTATACCTTCAAACTTGATACTATCAAACAAACCAGAATATAGTAAAGTCAGTCAGAACAAGATGGGGAGAGCAATACTGGGATTCAAATCAGGTTAATAGGAAAGCAAAAAAGTTACTATAATATATCCTGCTATTTTTAAATTTAGTTTTCCCTTAATTAAAAAAAATAAAGAATAAATTAATTTTAAACAAAGGGGGAAAAAAGGAGGAGATTGAGATAACAGAGGACATAGTAACAGAACAACACAGGTCAGAACCAAACAATTTAAGCATCATTGTGTTTCACCACCAGATAACCTGACATAATAATAGTCACCATAGTGTCTCTTTCCTTGAATTATTTGAGTATAACTTCGTATACTATAGCATCAAACATATCAAGACAGTGTGAAGCCATTCAAGAGAATGAAAGAATTACAGGGTATTTAGAACCAGCTAACAGGAAATGAACAACGGTTTCTATATTCTCTTTGCCTATAAAAAATTTTGTTTATACTATCGCATATAGTAAAATATAATAAGATACAGCATGTTAAAACCAATGAAAACAGACAAACAACAGCTTGATAGGACTTCAAAACAAGATGATATTAAATCAGCACTAGCTATTATGATGTCTTGTTTTCTTCAAAATAGCTATTCATACTATCACAGACAATAAAATCAAACAACCCAGATTAAAACCATTCCAATTAATGAGTGAAAACATTATATGGTTTCAAACCAATATGATTGAAAATCATGATTACCACATACTTTTATGTATTCTTAACATTTCTTACACTAGGGAAACTATTCGGTATTTATACATATGAGTTTGATTTATTTCACTTATGAGTATGCTCTCAAGCTGCGAAGAAGTGAAATTTAATCCAGAGAATCATTAATAAAATTCCTCCAGACATGATCTATTCATTTTAAATAAATGTCTGATATATATGGAAAAAGTACCTTTTGCAGGTACTTTTAATTTTCTTAAAAGTATCATCTTTGACTAAGAATACCTTTTCAGCCGGGTGTGGTGATATGCGTGTAATCCCAGCACTCAGAAGGCTGAGGCAGGAGGATTTCTATGAGTTCCAAGGCCAGTCTGAACTAATAGTAGATCCTGCATCAAAAAAAAAGAAAGAAAAGAAGAGAAAACCAATATCGTTTCTTAAGTTTGTGCGTGGGTGTGTATTTGCCAAACTCTTTAACTTTTTAATTGATTTAATTTAATTGTTTTGAGACAGGCTCTCGTAGCCCAGGCTGACCTCAAACTCACCATTCTCTTACCTCAGCCTCCCAAGTACATATTCATTTTTTTAACAATTAAAAATTTCACCCCCCAAAGAAACTCCCAAGTACATCTTTCTGCAACAAATATAAATGATCTAATTCCACCCCTAGATGGGTTTCTTCCTGACACTTTTATTTGTGTAAGAGAGCATAGGCGGGTATGGTGGTGCAAGCCTACAATCCCAGCACTTGGGAGGCTGAGGCAAGAAAATTGCTGTAAGTTTGAGGCCAGCCTGGGCAACACAGTGAGCCTGAGTACATAGTAAGACCTGCCTCCTAAAACCAGAACTAAACTGAAACAAAACAAACTCCTCAAAAGCCAAACCCATTCATACACAGTTACAGGATGTTTTGTTTTTAGTTATGAAAACCAGAGTATATTATATGTATAGGTTGTAACTTTTAAAACTTGATTCATAAGCATTTATGCTTATTCATAAGCAAGTCAAGATACAGGAACCTCCTAATTAATATTTTAAAAAGATAGTTTAAATACACATTCTATAGGCAGATTCGACTTCTGAGTGACAAGCATAGCATCTCTATACTTGCATGTTATGCTATGCAGATTAAATATAATCAACATGTGAATATTTATCATTTTGTATAGCTGATTTTGGTGACTTTGATCAGTATGAATCCCAGGACTTCCTTCAGAAATTTGCCTTGTTTCCTGTGGTAAGTCTTCTTTTGGCACTGGGCCTTTGTAAAAGGTTTATTTGTATGTCTTAGAAATTCCTGCAATGGGGGTTGGGGATTTAGCTCAGTGGCGTAAGCACCTGCCTTGCAAGCAGGTGGTCGTGAGTTTGATCCCCGGTACCGGTAAAAATGAATAAAAGACAAAAAAAAAAAAAAAAAGAAAAAAGAAATTCCTGCAATGAAGTCCATATGGTGCATACTTCCTAGGCTGGAATAGTGTGGAAAGCTCGGTTCCCTCTCACGAACATTAGAAATGTCAGTCTTTTCCCTATTGTAGTCTTCTTGGTACTTGGAGACTTACAGAAACTGAAGTCTGTAGTCATGACTGTACCTAGAAAAATTAGTTTTCTATTTGAATATGAGTCTAAGGAGGGGAATTTGTTTTCCTAAGAACCACCTAGAAGTTTTGATTTTTCACAGAAGGCCCGAAACCTCACAAAGTTAATGTGGAAATGACTTTGACTTCTTATCAGCAATCTAAAAAAAATACATTGCCTTTTTGCTGTTTGAAGTCGTTACTGACGGAGATGATGTGAAAACTGCATGGCATGCTCTTGAGAACATGTACACAGCCAGCCGGAGCATGCACAGGATGATTTCACGTGGGGTCAGAATTGGCTGGCAGGGGTCACCACCCTGAAATAACAACTCCTTGAGATTCTCTCTGGATGAGTTGAAAAGGGAGGGCAAGGTTCTTGGCTCCTGAACGGGAGCCCCCGAGTTCCTTAGATCATGATTACACACATGAGGAAAGCTCATACTAATACTAGTACTGCTACTAATACTAATACTAGATGTGATTTTGCCTGAATGGAGAGTCAGTAACAGTAGCAACGATTCCTTCTAAGAAATTTACCTAAGTACTGCTGTGTGTTTCCTTCAGAGGTGGCTACAAGATGAAAAAGTGTTGGAAGAAGCAACCCAAAAAGTGGCCTTACTACATCAAAAATACAGGTAACACTAAGAAACAGGGCATGGCAGTAGTACGGAGGTGTGCCAGTTTGAATGTGGAATCTGTCTGCAGACCTTGTGGTTAGAACCTTCCTGCAGCTCTGCAAGGAGCCAGCACATCCAGAGCACTCACTGCGTGCAAGTGCGTTTAAGGGGCACTGACCAACATTCATTCATGTATCTGTCAGTCATGTTTTATCACCAAGGAAACGAGGGACACGAAAAGCAGCCAGTCATTGAGGGATGCCAGGTCATCATCACCGTATGCGTTAAGTAGCGGCCCTTACACGTTACATAACAGTATAGAGGAAGGCAACAGTAGGGAGATTGGTTTCTTTTGCAGTGCAGCAAGAGCAATTATTTCCCCCAGAGGACTTTAAGCAGCAGTATTTTTGTCATCTGGGGAGCTAGGAGGAGAGCTCTGGTGCTGCCTGCACTGACTATTTTTGGTCTGCTTCCGTCTACCTGCGGGCTGATGGTCTTCTTTGATGGTGGATCTCTGTGTTGCCTGTAAGCAAAACCTTCCCTCAAGGAATGCTAGAGCTTAGCCTAAGCCAAGCATCCTACATTCCTAGTTCTTTACATACTGGTAACTTCTAACTACAGTACTCTTTAGGAAGGTAAATATTACCTCTGCCTTAAAGATGTGGAAACCAAGCTCAGAAAGACTTTGGTCTTCACATGTCGCAGAGCGGGGATTTGAAAGCCCACTGAAAGTCTGTCTGCTTATAACCCTTTGTGTGTGTGTGTGTGTGTGTGTGTGTGTGTGTGTGTGATCCTGGCAGTGGTCACTGTACTACTGAAACACCTCCCCGGCCCATGTGCCCCATATTCTCTTCCAAATAAACTTTCGCCACTCGTCTCTCTCCACTCCAGTCTATATAGTCATTCATAAAAGATCAGTCTTCTAAAATAGCACTTTTATTTCTCCCCCGCTCCTTCCCAAATGTTCATGGATATTTTCATGATCTCCGTAAGCTGGGGAAATCCTGCTTTTCCATCTCTATTTTCCGCTCTCCAAATGAGCCATTTCGTTTTTCTCTAACATAATTGATTCCCCGAGGCACGCAGTATCCTGCCTTGTGTCATTTTCATTTCATCACTTCTGCTTCTCTTTTCTTTTCTTTTCTTTTCTTTTCTTTTCTTTTTTTTTTGGTACAGGGGATTGAACCCAGGGCCTTAACACCGAGTGATACCTGCATCCCTTTTTTAATTTTTAATTTTGAGACAAGGTCTCCCTGAGTGTCCCAGGTTGGATTTGAACTTGTGATTCTCTTGCCTCAGCCCTAGTCTTCTAGCCTTCTGCGATGACAAGGCAAGCGCCACCATGCCCAACCCTTCTGCACTTCCTTAAAAGCACCTGGAACTCATTTGTACTCTTTCTCTGTATGAGGCAGAATGCTAGATTGGCTCAAAGATAAAAACAATAATTTCCTCCTCCCGAGAGTGCATTCCTGGCCTGGCAGTCCTAGGGATGGGCAGGGCAGCCGTTCAGCTGTAATTACAGCGATATGATAGGATAATGGGTGCCTTGGGAGCGCTGTGGGCAGAAGGTATTATGACTGCACCTGGGTAGGGGTGCCCGCTGGGCAGTCCAGACGGTGGCAGAGGGGGAGCGATAGTCTACACAGAGTTGCAAGGGATATTAGGGATCGTTCCGGTCCCCATGTATGTGAGAATGAGGGAGTAATGTGCAGAGGTCCAGAGGGGTGGGCGAGTGGGGTGCATTCAGAGAAACGTAGAGTTTGGAATGGCTGCACTGTGGGTGCTGTGGGGCCTGAGGGAGCGACAGAAGATTGGGCCGGATTGGTGCGTCTCCTTGCTTAGAGCACCCCTTTCCCCCCTACACTGCCTTCCTACCAATCTTTGTAGTGCCCTAGTCACCTGAGCTAAAAGAGATTTCCCTCTATCAACCTCACATTTCCTGCATTTATTGTCCATCTAGCACATGATTCTCTGTAATGCCTGATATTTTTGGATAATTAAGCAATTGTGGAAAAACTCCTGGCTTCCACTTGATATTTTAGGGCCTGGTCCATCCCTTGCCTCTGCCCTCACCTGCTTACAGTCTAAGCTGTAGAATGTTACAGATCTCACCTTCTGTGTTCAGCTCAGTTCTTGGCTAGCAGTCAGTTTTTGCAAGGTATTAAAGCATTGATGTAATCAATTACAGATGCTTAGAAGCCTGAAATTCTTATAATCTCTTGTGCCAAATTTGTATGTAGCCTTTAAGAAAACCTTTGTTTAAAATATTTCTTGTTTCTGTAAACAATCTCTGTAACATCTCTTGGGTTGCAGAGGGCTCACAGCTCCCGATGCTGAAATGCTGTACATGCAGGAGGTAGAAAGAATGGAGGGCTACGGAGAAGAGAGCTACCCTGCAAAGGTGAGTGTGGCCAGAAGCCGAGACTGAAGTGAAGCACAGGAGTTTGAGAGAATGGCGAGGGAGCTGGGTGCTCTGATGCTCAAGTCTGGAAACTTGTTTAAAAGCTGAAGTCCTTGCATCCAGGATTTTATAGTAAAACATTTCTATTTTGCAGTTTGTACTTTGAGATGATCAGGAAATAGTTTTACTTTCCATACGTGTTTACCAGATAAGGTGACCCTCTGCACATTTTATATTCAGGTGTAGGGGTACCTGTGTAAGGACTTGTATGTAAAGCTATTGCAGGTCTTATGCCCCTGCTTCCTGAGTGATTCTCCACTCTGTGCTCCTAGGACAGCCAAGGAAGCGACATATCCATTGGAGCGTGTCTCGAGGGTATCTTTGTGAAACACAAGAATGGAAGGCCTCCTGTGATATTTAGGTATGTTTCTTTCCTTTTTATGTGTGCATTCTGTGGCTTCTATTGGTGATATTTTAAAAAATTGCTCACAACTTTGTCAGTAGAAAATGGAAATATTCTCTTCCTAGACCAAAATGTCACCTGAAAATAGCGAGTGGTTCATTAATGTGCCATGCTCTGTGGTAGCAAATGTGCAGAAAATAGTGCTTCTAACAGCGGTCTACTTGTAAAATGCTTAAAAATCCATGACCCTTTTCTTGCCATGTGGAGGCGATTCTTTGTTTTGATCTGAATTTTTCATTTGAGTGCTGGTTTCTAGAGCTATTCGTTGTGGAAAATTTAGACTTTTCTTTTGATTCTACTTATGTAACAAAATTCCTCAAATACCAGCATCTTAACAAACGTCAATTACTTTTTATAATGTTGATTTTTCTCCCCCAGATTATAAAGAAATGATACCACTATTCGCTTGGAGTGTATATAGTAGGAAAGACAGAATTGATAATTAAAGATGTCGTAATGGTGGCTGAATGTTGAAGTTGCAGATGGCTTATGTTGTCTTTTTCATACCCTGTGTTCCAGTTAGTGTCTTAAACATAGAAATCAGATCAAATTGTTTAATTCTTGCATTATAGTTCCTTAAAATTCTAGTCTTAGAAAATCCAGTGTCATTTCATAGGGATATTTACAGTTTTTACTCTGAGATTCTATTCTCTTGCTAAAACTATTAGTCACGTATATTTCTTTATGAAGTATTAAACATATCCTGTCACTTCTGGCTTTGGTTCCTTTGTGTCTGCCATTTACTGAAGGCTTTGTATCATGTACTGGATACCATGCCACATGCTTCCTGTTTATTTTTCATGTGATCTTTATGCTCTGAGCAGTACATGTTCCTGCCATCTTGCATGTGGATATTTGGGGCTCATAAAAGCTGAGTAATTTGTCGATGATCTCCCAGTTATTAACTAGCATAACTGGGATATAAATCCAGTTAGTCTACTTTAAGCCTGTGCTTAGAGCAACTCTCTTTTTTAATTCCTCCTTATCTCCTACACCTCCACTCTCTCCCACCCAAGGCACACTGTTCAAGCTTTCTAAGCCATCTCTGTCATTTCTTCTTGAGACGCAGTCTTTCCTTTTAAAAACTTTTTCACTGACCAGGTGTAGTGGCACATGCCCGTCAGCCCAGCTACCAGGGAGACTAGACTGAGGGGCAGGAGGACTGCAAATTCAAGGCCAGCTTGGGCTGTGCAGTGAATGGGAGGCCAGCCTGGAACATAGCTCGACCCTGTGTTAAAAAATTAAAACCTGCAAAGCTCTTTCCACTAACTAAGGTGGCTTCTCTTCCTTCCTTTCCCTGGTGCTGTGGCCTTTGGCCCTGAATTGAACACAGAGGGTAGACACAGTGTAAGGAGCCACACACCGTTCCTGCTCTGCACCACCCAGGCTGGCTGCCCGCCTTGGGCAGTTGTGTGCTCTGGTCTCCAAGCCAGTCAGGAAGTTTTCCAAGCATGCTGAGCTGGGAGACCGGGAGAGGAAAGTGGGTCTGGCTGCACCTGGAATGTAGAATGCTGACAGTGTGGAAGGGTTACATGGAAACTCGAGACATCCACACAGTTGTCCTCATTACCAGATAGGACTGATGGATGGAGGGGTCCATTGGTTTATAGTAATGGAGGTCAAACCCAGAGCCTTCTTGCTTATCCACATCCCCTCCTTTTTTTAAAAAACATTTTATTTTGAGACGGGGTCTAGCTAAGTTGCTAAGTTGCCCAGGTTGTGCTTGAATTTGTGATCCTCCTGCCTCAGCCTTCCGGAGTGCTGTGGTTATAGGTGTGCACCACTGTGCCAGGCTGCATAGGAATTTTATTAAAAATGCCTTATTTAAAATGATGTAAATAACTTTTTTTTTTTTTTTTTTTTGGTCTTTTTGGTTTTTATCGGTACCGGGGATCAAACTCACGACTGCCTGCTTGCAAGGCAGGCGCTTATGCCGCTGAGCTAAATCCCCAGCCCCTGATGTGAATAACTTTTAACTTTAACAATTAAACACTGACTCACTACTGAGTCACTTTTAAAAAATGTACGTAAATAAGTAGAACACAAGTTGAACACTTTTTAATCCAAAACTCTAAAATATGAAATGTGCAACTTTTGAACTCCAACATGAGGCTGAAAAAGTTTTAGATGTGGGGTTGGGCACACAGCTCTGTGGTAGAGTGCTTGGTTAGCACGTACGGGCCTGGGACTCGATCCCCAGCACCATCTCCACACGGAAAAGTTCAGACTTTGGAGTGTTTCATAGTTTGGGTTTTCAGATTAGGGATGCTCAAATGGTAGTCGGTGCAAATATCCCCAAATCCAAAAACCAAAACACTTAATCAGTTCTGGTTAGAGACACTCAGCTCACACAACGAGGAGGTATAAAGTAGGGTACATTTTCTCCTTTGGAAACAGTTTCCCCTTTTGTAAAGTTACACAGCTGTGTATTGAAGCAAATGTTAATAAATGAAAGCTAAATATAATAAAACAGGATGGAAAACATGACATGGACTTCGTGTCCTGGTGAAACACCCAGAGTAGTTCAGTTCTTGGGTTCCCCGCTCTTGAACTTCATCTTTACTCTGCGATCTTTCAGAGTCTCCCCTGCTGGTGTGCCTTCTTTGTCAGTTTAACTACAACATTTAGCAGTACTTGTGTATGTCCTGCCTCACACAGCACCACCAGCCAAAGTGCCCCTTTGAGGGGAAGGAGCTGTTACTAGTGCTACTGTCCTCAAGACCTATGCAATCAGGCATGGTTGTGATAGGTGCCCTTTACAATATTTGTTGAATGAATAGTTGTGGCATTGAACATTATGCTAACCTAGTAAATGGGGATATACGCTACTTTATATCTGTTTTTTATTTTAAAGAGGATAAAATAGAATAAAACCAATCAAGGCAAATCAGTGTAAAAGATACAGGACTTCAAAACATTATGAAGTCAACAATGGTTACCCTAATGCCTTTTGATGTGTTCAAAATAATGGCAGATAACTTCAGACATAGTGAAAATCAAACAGAACAGAATAGGATAGAAACAATAAAAAAAGGACAATGAATGCAACAAAGGACTTCAAAACAAGACAACAGTAAATCCAAAATTGCAACCAAAACGCATCTTGCTATCTTTGAAATAGCTGCTCCAGCCATTGGATTCAACATAATCAAACAAAACAAAAGAGAATAAAACCCAACCCAACAAAACAATGGAAATGATACAGGACTTCAAAACAAGACCATAGGGAATCAACAATGGCTGCAACCCTCTGAGGGAGAGTCCCTCCTAGATGCCACACTGTGTGCGGCTGTCCTCTGAACCTATGATCAGACCACTGGCCCTAGACCTGCAGTGTTAGTGAGACACCAAAGCAGCACAGGCATCCAAGTGCATTTCACCTCCACAGCTATCATCACAGCCTGCGTTTCTGATCACTTACGGTGGAAGGGGGAGTGGGGTTTGGGGAGGTTGGCACTTCTTATTTGCCAGCCATGTGCCAGAAGGGGCTGGGGTCTGTCTGTTCCTGGTCTGGTGTGACCCGCACATGGCACTGGTTCCCAGACGGGGCCTGCTTGCTGATGCGGCTTTGTTCTCTGTCCCCCCGCCCTCCGTGAATGGCACTGACTCATGGGGAGGGGCTGGGGTCTGTCTCTATTTTACATCTTTCAGATATTCTTTCTTCACTGACTGTACATGCATTTATTTTGGTAAGTAGCTGCTGTTGCTTTCATTAGAAAATAATGCCAGGAGAGAAAAAAGACTTTATTTGTTTTATTTCAAAATGATTAATGAATATTAATTTCTGTGCCAAGCCTAAGGAGAACTCATGTGTTCTGTCTGCTCACCCACACTTGAGCACTCACAATGCCGTCCTCTGTTGTGTTTTAGGTGGCATGATATTGCTAACATGTCCCACAACAAGTCCTTTTTTGCATTAGAGCTGGCTAACAAGGAGGAGACCATCCAGTTCCAAACTGTGAGTAAAAACGAGGAATCTGGGCAGAAGGCTCTTCTTAAAAGGGCACAGGGTTAGCATTTCTCTGAGTCTGGAAGGGAAGAGTAACATTAAAATTGTAATGCTTCTTAATTGTGTAAGGCATCAAGTTGTGTAATGTGACATTTTGAAAAATGGATAGAAAGTGGTTGCTCAATAGATGTTGTTGAGTAAATGAATTTTTTTTTTTTCCTTTCAGTTAGCAATCAAGAGAGTAAATGAATCTTTAGGTGACATGGACACAGCAAAGATTCATTAGGTGCTTTCTTTTTTTTCTCTTAGTATTGGGGATTGAATCTAGCACTTTCACACTGAGCTATATCTCTGACCTTTTTTAAATTTTTTACTTGAGGACTAAGTATGGGAGCCCACAAGCACCAATACCTTAATTCCAGTGATAGTGAACAGCTCTGCAGAAATACTGTGTGACAGTTATTTGCCTTCACGCTCTTGACAAAAACAATAGTCACTGAATCAAATGTTTTGTTTAAAGTCTTTGAGGGTATTTGTCAGGAATAAAAGTTGGCATTTTTATGAGTTTTACATGGTTGGGACAGATTTTTTTATCTTCACCATTGAAATCCTCCTGGTGAGATTCACATAATGGGAGATTTAGAAAATGAAAGAATTGGCCCAGGGATTTAGGTCAGCGACACAAGCACTTGCCTGGCAAGCACAAGGTCATGAGTTCGATCCCTGTTACAAAAGAAAAAAAAGAAAGAAAAGAAAATGAAAGAATCACAGTGCACAGGAAAGGACTTTATTGTAACGTCATCCAGCTGTATCTTGACTTCAGACAAACTGTGTTAAAAGTACCAAGTCGAGCCCTGTGTGTGCTTTCATACTACTCCATGCATGTTTTGTTTGCCAGGAAGACATGGAAACAGCGAAGTATGTGTGGAGACTCTGTGTTGCACGACACAAATTTTACAGATTGAACCAGTGTAACCTGTGAGTATCTCCTGTCTGTAGGAATTGTCGAAAATGATGCCCTTAAAAAATGTAATGTTGAGCTTTCTTATATATCTGAGTTATCAAATGATAACTTTTCCTTATACTTTTGTAATAGTCTCTTTGTTTTGTTATATTAAAATGACATTTGTTACTCAAGGCTGGTGTTATGTGTGTGCAATCCTAGGACTTTGGGAGGCTGAGGCAGGAGGGTCACAAGTTCGAGCTCAGCTTGGGCAACTTTAGTGAAACCCAATTTGAAAATAAGGAAAAAGAAAGGGCAGGGATTTAACCCTGTGCAAAGGCGCTGGGTTCAATTCACAGCATGACAAAAAAATTTATTAGACCAAGTTCTAATAACTACAGTTATGCCTCCAGAATTTCTTTCAACCATTCTAATTTTCAAAAGTTAAAAAAGAGAATAATATTCTTTATGTTTTATGCATTCTGAGCAAGCATTAGTTTCAAGCCTTGTGAGTACCTGAGGTCCCCTCTCCCTAATGCACATTCGCAGTGACGCACATGCAGACATGCCGTTGTGTCTCACCTGTGACGCCTTCAGCTGTAGCACCAGGAGCAGCCCTGCTCTCACAGCGGACTTCTGCACAAGTCTTGTGCATAGCGTCCTTCCCTCCCTCCCACCCCGCTGCCCTGAGCTGCTGCAGCGTGGACACAGCCATAGTCAGCTGGCCTGCACGCACGGGCACTGCAGGAGCTGGGTCCTGTGAGTGCTGCACAGCACTGAGCCTCTGGCTGCTCTGCAGATTTGATCTCCAGCCCCGTGTCCCCCTGCGCTCTAAAGTTCTGCAACCTGTCACATCTTTACTTGTCCCTGGGGTACCTGTTGGGCATCTCTCTGTGACGTTTCTCCAACAGTTCTCTTTCTCTCCTGCTCCTTTACCTGCCCAAGCCCGCTTGTTTTGCCCGTTTCCTGTGTTGACAAGAGGCAGCACACTACACTCGCCCAGTTGCTCCGGCCCCAGACCTCCAGTACTTGAGTCATACTTCTTTTTCACACCTTTCCAATTCATCAGCAAGCTGTGCTAGCCCCGCCTTCGGAGCAGAGCTGAGATCTGAGCATTTCTGCCTCCCCACCCCCACTAATGGCTTGGTGCCAGCGCCGTCATTCTCGTCTCTCGTCGGGGGCATCGCGGCAGCCTTCTGACTCTCACTGCTGTGCCTTCCTGCCTGGCTTGTTTTCCCTGAGTCGGCCAGAAGGGTGGTAGCTTAACGTATGTCAGCTCCTCTTACTCTTCTTAAACCCCTCCCTCCCTTGGCCTCCTTCTAACTTCCGAGCATCGGAGGGCAAACGTGACATGGTCCTTGCTTGGTCCCGACCTGGTTTCCTTCTCGCTCCTCCTCGCTCACTGCGCTGCAGCCGCGCTGCATCCTTCTGTGCTGTGAGCAGGCTCCCCTCTCGGGCCGGTGGGCTTGCTCCTCCTGCGTGGAGTGCGTGTCTTCCTACACCTTCTGGTACCTGGCTTCTTCACCGCATCCCCTTGTCTGGTCAGAGGTGCCCTCTTCAGAGGCCGATTCCCTGCTGTCAGTCTTCCTCCACAGTTACCTGTCTATCTTCTTACCCAGTGCTGTTCTTCACAGCACTTAGCACCAGCTGAATTTCCCTATTTGTTCATTTGTTTGTGGGTGGTCCCCCCCCCCGCAGGAATTTCCACAGCACAGGGGCAGATGTGCTCCCCGTCTTAACTGCTCTATTCTCGGTACCACCTAAGAGTCTTGCTCATTCAAGGCCTTGATGCATCCGCTGAGTGAATCTATAGAGACAGCACTTAGAGCTCTGTTTGGGGATGTCAGTGATGCTGTAGGATCCCTCAGGAAAAAGCTACCCCACCCAGCACAGCCAAAGTAGGGAAGGCTTCCCAGCAATGTGATACCTATGCTGCGTACTGACTGACAGTTTTTGCTCAATCCCAGTAGCCTTACTTTAAGGTGTCTTGGCTCTGCCAGGCCAGTGCAGTGCCGCTGGCCCCAGCCTTCTAGATGGACAACCAAGCAATGGAGCGCTGCTCTCAGAGTCACAGGTCAGGCCCAGATGGAGCTCATTCCTCTCCACCGAGCCTCCTGGCTACAGAGTGAAGTGCAGGCTTCTGGGTGCTGCATCGCTGCCTTAGCCCTGCCGAGCCTTGATTCTGGCTCCCAGAACTCACCATTCTCATTGTGCTAATGCCTCTCAGCCCAGGCTATTGCAGTAGTGTCCTTCCTGCCTGCCTCTGGCAGGCTCTCAGTCATTCTTTAGGATCTAGTTTTGGAGCTGGACACGTAGCTCGCTGTTAGAGCCATCCTGATTTCCAACAAGCATTTGTAATTTGTAGGGGATTTTAGTAAATGCTTACTCTGTGTTAAGCATCGTGCTGAGGGCATGTGTCTTCTTGAGTCCTCCAGTCACCCTGTCTGCCACATTAGTATTGCTGCCTGTCTGTGGACGAAGGTCTGGAGATGTAGGAGGACTGTCCTGCCCAGGAGTGTGCCTACTGGGAGGTGGCAGCAGGACTAGAGTCTGCGCTCTCAGCACATTTCCCAAGCTGCTGGAGTGTTTGTGGTTGCTGTCCCTGTGGATTGGACAGGATGGGGCTCTGTGAGGGCAGGGCCGACTCGCATTCATCCTCAGGTCCTGGCAGGAGAGGCTGCATGAACAGTGCCAGCCTGAGTGAGTGGTGGGAAGAGCCTTTACCCTTTGTCTTATCTCCTTTTACTACTGATTGTAAATGGGGAGCATGGGGAAGACATTTGTGTCGTTTGTGAGAGGAAGGAGAGAAGGAGATAGGCTGTGGAGGGGCTCGCTGTTTTACAGTGTGCTAAATACAGGACCTGATCAGGTGTGACGGTCCAAAGAGAATGGGCTAGGCCACCCCATGGGATGGGAATCAGCATCAGCATCAGCTAATGATTACGGCAGGGGCCGCGCTCCTCCCATGGCCTTAGCTGGGTTCACACCATTGCTCTGGAGATGAGGTTTTGGTAATGAGTAACTGAGAGGCAGGAGGAGCCCCTCTTCTTCCTGGGTGCAGGAAGCCTTGTCTGCTGGCTGTGGGCTTTGGAGTTCCGCTGCATTTGGGTGTAGAAGAGCTCCCCCTGGTGGATAGATTCAGCGGTGCCGCTCGTACAGGATCCCTGTAGTGCAGTTTTTGCAGGCTCTGGGCTGGCCCGGTTACCCAGCCCCATATGACATTATTTCTGTTACTATTTATTTTTGAAGCAATAAATATACAATCTGTGGGAACATTGAATTTTCATTTTAAAGCCTTTCAAAAGTTCATAATGAGCCATCATACCTCAGTTCAGTCCTTTTCGGGAAAATAGTGGAGAATCAGTTACTCTGAATAAACCATGAACCGCAGTCCCCTTTGAGTAAACATCCTTATTGCTGGGCGGTTAATGGCTTTTTTGTTTAGCAGTGCTGGGGATTTCACATGCTAGGCAGGCACTCTATCACTGAGTTGCATCCCCAGCCTGGATGCCTTTTTAAAAAAATTGTATTCGGGTAAATCATCAGCTAATAATGATTTTTAAGACTCAGAGGGAAAAGCAACAAATGATCGTGGTAAATGGTGCAGTCTCAGAAATGTGCTTTTTTTTTTTTTTTTTTTTTAAGAAACGTGCTTTTAACAAACGTGAATAAAGCTGATGTCATCAGTTTTAAATATTTACATAAGGAACACTTGATTGTTTTGACTGGAATAATTATATATAAAAGGTTAATTTCCAAATTTTGTTTTATATGTCTAAATTATGGAAGCTTATTTCTATGAACTATTCCTGTGTAATTATTTATAATTCATTCTGTGAGAAATATATTTTACTGTGTATTTGTTTGCCATATAAAGTGATTGCAACTTTTAATTAGTTTTTAATGTTTTAATAAGAAAATAAAAAATAACTTTAGCTGGGCACAGTGAGTGTCCCCTGTAGTGTGGGGGAACATGTCGGCCACTGTCTAGGTCTTCCAGGGACGTTTGTGATCCAGAAACTGACTGGCATAGGGGAGAGGGACTTGCCCTCTTCATCACGACCTGTGCAGCCCTGAAGAGATGGTAGGAAGCCCGGAAGAGGTCAGAGCACCCCTCCCAGCTTCTAGTCCTCTGGGCCTCAGAGGTGTGGAAAGGACACAGCACTCCCACTGACCACAGGGAGGGGACCTGTGGTAGAGGGGACCCAGGAGCAGTGGCAGGGCCTGACAGTGGGATGTCTGTCCTCTCTCAGACACGCCTGAGGAGAGCTGGTACTGGACATGAGGGAACTTCTGTGTCAGGATTATAGAAACTAAAACAAAGGCAGAGAGCACAAACTCTCAGGCAGAAGAAGAAAAAATGGGGAAGGGCTCCAGCTTGAGGGGAAGAGCTGAAGGAGCCCAGCTCTGAGGGAGCCATTAACAAAGCAAAGGGGCTTTGTAATCAGCTCGCTGAGGTGGGCTGGGGTCTGCTTGACATTATCTCAGCTCTGGTTCTCCACTGTGGCTCTGGAGAAGCCCGTCTTCCTTCTGGTTCCCATGGGATGACAGCTCCTGCATGGTGGGGCCCTTAGCTCCTGTCAGGGGGTAATTATTCCTGCTTAGGGAGCTGATCTCATCATAGGGCCATTGTTTGCAGATACTCTGCTGGAATCCAGGGCGACTGCAGGTTTAGGACGGTGACTATAGAGACTTCTAAGTCCTGCTCCAGAGAATCCAGAACAGGATGAAATAAAAACTGGCAACTGAATGTCCCTGCAAATCTTGAGTGTGTCTTAGTGACTCTTGGTATTCTCAGTCTTGAAGGGGGATGACATAGGTTAGGTAAATGTAGAGCTAACAAACTGTTACTTAAATAGACACTCCACGATTAGCAAGCTTACCTTACAGAGCTGAGCAGAATCTGACGCCAAGATTAAAGGAATAAAGGACACAGATATAAAATGAAGGCAGAAATTCCAACCTTTATCCTTCCAGTTACCCATTGGTATCTGCAGGTCCAAGGGAAGAGTCAGTGCCTCTCAGCACACATTGCAGCTTTTAAGTCCTTGTCTCACAGAAGGCAGCTTCCCTTTCTGAGCTGGTCACTGTTTACATGAAGGTTATTATCAGCCCTTGAAAAGCGGACATGTCACGGAGCTAGAATGAAGCTTCTGGTGTCCTAGATGCCTGAGATCTCTGCCAGCTTTGCCCTCTCCTGTCCACAAAGCCAGGGGTCTGTATTTGAGGTGTGGGAGAAGAATGGGAGCAGGCATCTCAGAGCCAGGCGGTGCTCTTGGAGCAGCCTGGTTGTGCAGCTCTGGCCCACCCTTGAGCAGAGAAGGAGAAAAGCTTTTGTTCTTCAGGAAAGTCACTGAGGGAAACATCCGGTAGATATTTCTGCCATGCAGCACATTTTCTGATCATGAAAATCTACCTTTTACGAGCTAAAAACAGACAAAGGACTAAACAGAAGCTCACAAAATGAAGTCATATAATCCGAGGAACATGAGCTCAACTATAATGGCTCAGCAAAAGCCATCAGCTCCCGTTCCCACTCACTCTGTCATTCATTTGTTCAGCACCGCTCACACTGAGGGCTTCCCGTGAGCCAGGCAGTGTGCCAGGCAGTGTGACGCCATGATATGTCTTCTTCTCCCAGACAGCTTCAGGGTAGCTGGAGTTGAGGAAGCGGCCAGACCAATAATAATCAGAGCCCATACCCGGAATCTGACAAAGCTGCTTGTTCAAATGCTGGTTCCGCCACTTGTTTGCCAGGGGATCGGGAGCAACTTACTTCATCTTAGTATCAGTTGCCTCACCTATAAAATCGTGGTAATAACTGGCTCTTCCTTTTGAGGCTGGTGCTCGGGTTTCATCAGATAGTCTGCAGTCTTTAGCACAGTTTCAGTGAGCACTATCTTTAATTTTACTTGGATGGGAAGTCGTCTTACATTGTCTTCTCTAGTATGCATACCCCAGTGACTGCTGAGAGGTCTCTCAGCTGTCTCTTATTTTAGCAGCACTCATCGGCACAAAAACCACACCAGAGGTTTAGAGAGCACAGCCAAGGGCCACATTGTTTTCTCTGGTGTGTGAAGCTGTGAGGGTTGATCTCAGTTTATGTGCCATGGAAGAGGGAGTCAGACGGTTAGAACCGACGGTGAGGCTGCTCAGGATGAACCATTTGGCAGCCAGAAGAGCTAGGGGCTTGTTTTGTGGCCTGCAGAACTGGCTTCTGCAGTGGGCAGTGTTCACCTCCAGGGGTGCTGCCAGCAAGATGCCTGAGTAGATAGCGTGGGTGGGAGGTGCCGCCTGTGCTCCCAAGCTCTGCCTCCTAGGATTTGGTGCTGAATACACTTAGGTGGACCCGTTGCAGTTTGCTGACAGTGCAATCCATCAGCAATTCTTTCTTCTCATTTCTGAACTCACAATATTTTATAAAAGTCCAGTCCATCTACACTGTAGTCTCTGCTAGACTTCTGTACAAAGTCCAGGGGCCCCCATTTACCTAAACCAAGCTGCAACCAAGCAGGATAATGAGAGGCAAAATAAATTTCAGAGCAACAAACCACAGCATCTTGCATGTAGTTAAAGCTCAGATATGGTCACACTAACATGGGCAGTTGAGTCCTTTGTAACAGACATCTGTGTTTCATAAACAATCTGAATGCAGATTAGTAAAAGAAGTCACCTAGTAGAAAAGCAGTTTAGTCACCTGATGGTGTGTGTCATCTCTATCTGTTGTTTTTTTTTTACTACTGGTTTTCTGTTTTTCTCAAGAGTCTTATACAAGTAAGTCTGAGCATAGATAGCAGTTATCAGAGTGCTAAGAATAATACCTGTCTGTCTATTTATTTTTGTGATACTAGGTATTGAACCCAGGGCTTTTGCATTCAACTATATCCCTAACCCTTTTTAAATTTTTACTTCTGTCACAACCCACACAGCCAGTGGGGTCCTGAGAGGGGGTGACAGGAGATTAAGAAAAAACTATAGAGACATACTACCAGGAAAGCTGGGAGGGGTGGGACCTGACCTCTCTGATGGAGAGACGGTGACAAGCCAGCATGGTGTGCATCTTCATTTGTACACAGTAAAAAGGGAGAAGCATGTGAAGGGGTCGGAAGTGCAAGGTCTCAGTGTGCTTTACTGAGAACACTGAAAGCAGAGCATTCTCGGAGCTCCCTGCGCTGTGTAAACAGGGAGGAACAACACGAAGGCCAAACACCTGCCCGACTGGCTTTGCCTTAGTTTAAACAGCTCGTTTACCTGGCTCATCACGTGGCGCCCCGTGTTTTTGGGGCTGGCCTTGCTCTAACCCCAAATGTGTGGTTGATCTCCAGCTTAGCCATCCCCCACAATTGTGAGAGAGGGTCTTACTAAGTCACTAAATTGTCCAGGCTGGGCTTGAACTTGTGATCCTCCTGCCTTAGCTTCCCAGAGTGCTTGAATTACAGGCATGTGCCACTATGCCCAGATGAACAATGTTAATTTAGAAGACAGGAGGCTTCATATTATTAATTAACTTGTTGATTACATGGATTGAATGTTCACTTTGTAATAGTGGAATTCTAGTAGTTAGTCCTTAGAACTCTAGCCAAAGGCCACAGGATATTTTCTTTAATCACTAATTATGTGCCATAAACATTTGTGAGTTAGGAACGGATAGTAAAAATTTTTTTAAAAAAGTTCTTTGACAGAATTATGTAAGTCATCCAGAAAGCCAAGAATTCAGTGTCTCTAGGTTCCCAATTTTATTTGCAATAAAATTGACCACACACAAGAAAAAAAAATACTGCTTATATTTAAAAACAGTGGAGTTACAAATGGGCTTTTCTGATTTTGTTCTTTTTTAAAAAACTTACTTATTCAAAGATGAAACTTGTGTGAATAGTTTAAAATCTCAAACTACCAGATAATACCAGTTAGCATGCCTAGATTGTCTTAGTTGCTTTAAAAACAAACCAGAGGGAAGTTTCTTGCAAAAAAGAAGGTGAATGGGTTTATCAAAGAGGCCCATAGAACTGATTTTTTACTTTTTGCTTTTCCTAATTCAGTTCCTTAGGGAAATGTAAGCCCCTTCCCCATAGATAAATTCCTAAGTCATCAAAATTAGACTTGTCTTTTCCTGATACTTGCAATCTTTGCAATGTGTGGTTCTGCCTATTGTGTTAGGCATCTGGGCTGCCCGCTGGTGGGTCACCCCCGTCAGGACTGTTAGTGGAGACTTTCAGTGCTTCCCAGCCTGCAGGAGAGATGACTAGCTGAGTTTGCTGGTGATCTCCCATTTGCCGTGGCCACTGCGCAAGCCTTGTCTCACTGGTCCCGTGGGTGGGGAAAGGACCAGTAGCTCTCCCTTCCTGGTGGTCCAGGGAATGATGCCCCCCGAGCATGGTCCAGGGCCAGAAGGGGTCATCCCCACAGGATGCCAGCAAATTAGTTTGTCTTTTTACCTTAGAAGACTTCTTGTGGTACTTTCGTCTATCTTGTTTTGACAGAATTGGGAAATGTGTGTGCTTTTCTCAAAATTGTCTTGTTTTGCAGACAAACTCAGACTGTCACAGTGAATCCAATCAGGAGGAGGTCATCTTCAAGGATGTCTCTGGTAAGAAGAAACATTTGATTGCTTTTTTTTTCTCTCTTAGCAGTGTCATTTGTCATATGCTTTGGGTAGTGTGAATTTTGAGTTTGAGCCATAAAACTGTGTTCATTCTTGATCATTTTTATCCAAAGAAGGATGATTTTTCCTGAGTTCAACCTAATATTATATTATACATATTTAAATATCAGGTCCAATCAAATGCTATAAATTTGAACTATTAGCCAAGAGTAAGCCTAAGTCGGTAGATGTTTAAATTTTTTGACAACTTTGTCTAACAGGATTAAATATACTACATATACGCTTCTTATATTCAGATCTTTATACAAGGACATGTATCAGTTCCTTCTTGCTCTTCCGTTTCGGAGGCAGATTTTATATCCTTAGTATCAGTGCACAGGGCCTGGCGTTGCCACTGTGGGCAGTGGTGAAAGGGATACATACAGTAAGACCTCCTGTATCTTCATGTTTATTTTCCATATATAATATATGTAACTCCTTTAGAGGCTTCTTTTTTTTAATGGAGGGAAAGAATCCAGAAAAGAATGACTTTACCTCTATTACATAGGCAATGTGTTTTAACCCTGTGTCCAACTTTCCATTTCTTAGCCTAAACCCCAGCCCTATGTGATGCCTCCCCCACCCCAGCTGCATTATAATGGACACTATACAGAGCCATATGCTTCTTCCCAAGGTAAAGTACGCTAATTCTGCAAAGCCTTGCACAGTTATTACCATGAATAAATCTCTGAAGATATCCTCAAGCCTGGATAGCTTTTGCCTGAAGTTATACCCCAAATTGTCATGATTATAGCCACTCTGGATACACAGGATAAGTCAGTACATTCAGGTTCTTGCATATGTGGTAAAAATTTGTAGTTTCAAATTTTGATGCTCAAATGACCCCAATATTGGCCAATGTGAACTTCAAGGTGATTCCTGTGTGCTTTTAACACCCCCAGCTGCATGAGCCTTTGAAAGTTCTTTATTCCTTTCAGGAAAAAGACGTTCCCTTCTTACTCTGTTTTTCCCTGCTCGAGGTCATCCCATTGTACAGTTTTAAACACTTGATCACTGCAGCTTTCATGTTTTAAGTACAGGGAACTGTATTTACGACAGTGCCCCAAGCTGACTGGTGCATTCCTTTAACACTTACTTGATAACCTGTGTATAAAATGGCACTAAAGGACATGGAGTTTGATGCAGATGAGTAGCTCCCAGTCTTTAGAAGTTTAGAATCTAATTTTGGGGTGAGACAAGTCCACCTATAACTTGAAATCAAAGAGAATGCGATTCTTATGTTGAGAGAGAGCATGCAGTCCCTGTGCCCTGTGCTGGGAGACAGACTCATTGTCCTGGGGGGCTGAGACCTTTCTGGACTTCGACAGGTGGCTGGATTTCAGCAGTGAGAGAGGCAGGTCCTGCCTGGGGCGGCTGCTGGGATGTGGGGGACAGTGGCACCGAGCCGGGAAGGGGACCTTTAGCGAGCAGGGTGGTCCGCTTGCCCTTGCACATAGGGACTGAGCAGGGAAGGAAGCTGGAAGGAACAGAAGGCAGACTGTGACTGCGCTGCCCGCGCTGCTCCCTGAAGCCCAGGAAGGAGCGCCTGGGGTTGGGTTCTGGTTCTGTGTTTCTTCGCGTCATCCTCCTCCACCCACTCTGCACCGAGATAAGGCTCTCCTCTGCCTATTGGTCTCCTTGCTGCCCTTTCCTACCTCGGTCTGTGAACATCTTGCTATCTTTTGCTCTCCGCAGTCTTCAGACGATTGTTCCGGGTTAAGTTTTCTTTCCTTGTACCCCCAGCTCTCCTTCTCCAAGGGGTCTGTGTGTTTGCTTCTGCTTGTTGTTTATCCTTTGCCTCTTCTGCCTTCGCTACTCTAGAAAAGCCGTCCTCCGAGGTCCCCAGCACCCATAGGGCCTTCTCACCATCACCCTCATCACTGTGTATTCCATCAGTTTTTTAATCATGTGATTTCATTTTGGCAGACTTGGACATGTTACTGTCACCCCCTCTTAAGGAGTGTGCTTCTGAGTTGGGTTTTCCTCCTCCATCATGTTGCTGTTGCTCAGTGTTCTTGTCTGTGGGCTTTTTCCCTCCCTCTGGGAGCTACCACAGCAGTTACCACGCTTTGGATTCTTCATCTTCCACCGCGCCCAGCCCGGGCCCAGCCCTCCATTTCCTGCTGTCCCACAGATGGTTGTGACAGTTGTGGGGGCCCAGCACGTGAAGCCCTCAGTGAGGGCCTGCCTTATGGGGGGCACGCAGGAAATGACGTCGGCTACTGACTTGCTGCAAATTGAAATATTACATTTGAACGAATGTCTCCACTGGGTTCCTTCCCTGGGTTCCACATTTTTCTGAATGTGATGAAGTCACTTTCCCAGTTACTCAGATTCTTGGTTGGCTGTTTTTTGAGATGAGGTCTTGCTGTGTTTCCCAGGCTGTTCTCGAACTCCTGGGCTCAAGCCATCCTCCTCCCTCAGACTCCCAAGTGCTGGGACCGCAGATGTGCCTTACCACGCCTGGCACTGGTAACTTGGATTCTCAGCTGCATGTAATTTTGCTGCTTTTTTTTGCCCTGGACATTTAGTCATTTATAAATCGTACTGCCCACAACTTTATATCATACCTCTTCCATGTCCCCTGCCTCTAATCCAACCCAGCCTTTGTTCTTTTTTTACTTCTCACTAGTCATGTCATATGAGTTGGTATCTTCAGTCTCTACTCTCCTGCTTCATCTAATACATGACTGTGTTGACCAGGACCATTCATTTGCCTAGTGTTTATGACTGCACGTTTTCATAACCCATCCTTCTATTTAAAATGGTTTCCCACTGTTGGCTTACTCCTCTCTAGCCTGCCCTCAAGGGTCAGTCCCTGGCATTGCCCATGCTTGCCCTGTACCCAGAGCTGCAGTCCTTATCCCTCCCACACATCCTCCTGCCCATGTGTTGCCATCCCACCAGCCTAAGATAGGCTATGCAGTGCTAACAAGCCATTCCAGAGCTCAGTGGATTTTTGTCTTGCTCAGATTACCTGTCTCTTATGCCTAGCAAGAGGGCTCTGCTCTAGGAGAACTTGCCTCGGTGGCTCAGCTTGGGGATTCTCTTCCATCTGGAATGCTGTTGGTCATAGTGGCAGAAGGAAGAGACCAAAGAAACTGGCCCTGATCCTCTGCTCATTTTCCTTTGATTATTTCTAGTCACGTGGCTGTGCCCACCATAAAGGGATGAGGAGGCTTAACCCAGAGTACTTGTAGAGGTGGAGGGGTCTGGGTACTGATGGATGCTGGACTTGCCTGCTTCTCCCACCTACCCGCAAGACGCCTTGAGTACCGTAGCTTCCGTGAGGTTGTTTTTGATTATTTCTTTTGTCTCTGTCCTGATCAATTTTGGCTAAGTTGGAAGTGATCCTCTTCTGTCTCTTCTCCTTTCTTTAATTATGGTGATTGTCAGCCTACATCTCACCCTTCATTTGCCTGTATTCTGGTATGTTTTCCCCCTTCTGCTCTTAGCATAGTCTTACACAGTCAACAGGCTCCCAAATGATTGAGGGTAGACAAGTATCATACCAGTGCAGACAAGCTACAGTGGGGATCTGAGCTGTGATGCAGGCGGTGAGGAAAGAGGAACTGCAGAGGTTTAGCATTAGCCGAGTGTTCCATGGATCGGAAGGCATAGCAGCAAGGAAGCCCTGTGTGTCACCAGGAAGAGGAGCAGGCTATCTTTGGAGCCGTGTGTGCCCTGGAATACAGCGTGCCTTCTGGACAGTGGTCTATCATTTTGATAATCGGTTGTCACTTAAACATCATGGAGTTTTCTAAGCACACAAAGAATGCTTATCAGAGAAAATTTTTCTCTGAAGGACTTGTCTATTGAGTTTTCTTTGTAGTGTTGGAAGTCAGTGTCATTAGTAAAGAGATTCAGGTGGCTACTGATTGGCTGGAAGAAAAATGGCTCTTTCTAGCTTGGGACAAGAATACACATACAGCATTGCAAAATTAATTGTTGAACCCTGGACCTAAAAGCCTTACTGAAATGTGGGTCAGGGCCCCTGGTGGGGCGCATAGCTATTGGTGACACTTAGAACTGGAGACGCTCATATCTCACTACACTGTTGTCCTTTCATATGGAAGTTTGCCTTCATTCTGGAAGAATTTACACAGGTGATCTAAAGTCCCAGTTAAGGGAATTTCTATGGGTAGCTTGACCTAGCTCAGCATCAGCAGGCTCTTTGTACCCAGGGAACCACTAGAGTCCCTCGCTCTGGACCTTGAGCAATTGCCCTGCCTCAAGTTGTGGAGTTCCACAAAGCCTGTTTTGTGTCTCCAGTGAAGCAGAGGTTTTTAACTTTCAGAAAAAGACACTTATTGGTCACACAGTGACAGTCAGCACTGGAATTAGATTAGATGAGTCATTATCAGGTACCAGGTCCCGAATCCCAACCTTACAGCAGGCAGAGCCAGCCAGCCTCATCCTATGGACTCCCGAGGTTTACTTCAGCAAGGCTCTTGTGGCTGTGTTGAAAATGCCATTCAAATTCAGGGCCTTTCTCAATATTTGCCTACGGTAAATGGCCCAATTTAATACAGCTTTAAAAAATATCATTTTAAAGTACATTTTATTTTATTTTTTGGAACCAGGGATCAAACTCACAACGTTGCGCTTGCCAGGCAAGCACGTATGCCGCTGAGCTAAATCCCTGACCCTGAAGTACCTTTTAAAACTGTTCTTTTCCAGATAACCTCTTTGTGCCCAACCACAATGGATATTACTGTCACTCCCAGACAAGCTTGGATAGAGCCCAGATGGACGTCAACGGTCGCATCCGGAACGGCAGCGTCTACAGTGCACACAGCACCAACTCCTTGAACAACCCTCAGCCCTACCTGCAGCCCTCGCCGATGTCCTCCAACCCAAGCATCACCGGCAGTGACGTCATGAGACCCGACTATGTCCCCTCGCATCGCCACAGCGCTCTGATCCCCCCTTCCTACCGCCCGACCCCAGACTATGAGACTGTGATGAAGCAGCTCAACAGGGGCATGGCACACGCAGAGAGGCAGAGCCACTCGTTGAGGAATCTCAACATTGGCAACTCCTATGCATACAGCAGGCCCGATGCCCTGGTCTACAGCCAGCCTGAGATCCGGGAGCACGCGCACTTCGCCTCCCCACAGTCAGCTCACTATGCATTCAATCTGAACTACAGTTTCCACAGCCAGTCTCCCTACCCCTACCCCGCCGAGAGGCGGCCTGTAGTGGGCGCTGTGAGCGTGCCAGAGCTCACCAATGTGCAGCAGCTCCAGGCCCAGGATTACCCGGCCCCCAACATCATGCGGACCCAGGTGTACCGCCCGCCACCGCCCTACCCTTACCCTTACCCCAGACCGGCCAACAGCACCCCGGACCTGTCCCGCCACCTGTACATCAGCAGCAGTAACCCAGACCTGATCACGCGGCGCGTGCACCACTCGGTGCAGACCTTCCAGGAGGACAGCCTGCCGGTGGCGCACTCACTGCAGGAGGTCAGTGAGCCTCTCACTGCGGCGCGGCGCGCGCAGCTGCAGAAGCGCAACAGCATCGAGCTGGCGGGGCTCACGCACGGCCTGGAGGGGCTGCGGCTCAAGGAGCGCACTCTGTCGGCGTCGGCGGCTGACGCGGCCCCGGCCCCAGCCCCAGCCCCAGCCCCGTGCGCGCTCCTAGCTGGCTCCCAGCCCAGCGTCTGCAGCAACAGAGCCAAGCAGGACGGGGCTGAAGAGCCGGATGAGACCGAGGAGCAGGAGGGCGGGAGGTACGGCCACAAGAAGTCGCTTTCGGACGCCACCATGCTGATCCACAGCAGTGAAGAGGAGGAGGAGGAGTTCGAAGAAGACCTCAAAGTCGCAGCCGCGCTCCCCACGCAGCCTGAACCCCGGCTGCTGGCCGCCTACGCCGCGGAGCTGCCTCGGAGCCACCCCTGTGCCGCCGCCATCGCCCCGGGCCCCGGCCCTTTGCATATTCTGGAGCCCAAAGCCCACATCCTGGAGGCCGAGAGGAGGGCGAGGGATGGAAGCCCCGCGCACGCGATGGTGGAGGCACAGCGCCCCCGGAGAGAGGGACTTCTGACGCCCTCCATGTCCGAGTCCGACCTCAGCACATCTGGGAGGTACCGGGCCAGGAGGGACTCTCTGAAGAAAAGGCCGGTGTCGGACCTGCTCTCCGGGAAGAAGAACGTGGTGGAAGGGCTCCCGCCGCTGGGGGTAAGTGTCCCGGCTGCGCGGGTGGAGGGCGCACAGACCACTGCGCCTGCTATCTGTCCCTCTACTGGCCCTGCGTGCGCTTTTGACTTGTTGCTTCTGATGTTTCTCAACTTTTTTTTGTTTGTTTGCTTTTAAATCTTCAACATGTTTCAACTTATTTCCCTGCATATTGCTAACCATTTTAAGTTTCCATATGGAAATTAGAGGGAACTGATGAACATTTCAGTAGTTTTACCAAAGATAACGCACTGGATGTAAAGGTTCTGTGGGCTGGCATGGGAAGACTGAATGTCTCAGGAATGCAGCATTGAGGAGAGGATTTCCTGACTTTAGTCAAGGTGGGTGTGCTAACCACCATGGAAGAGATTGTGGGTGATGCCGCGCGCAGAGGCTAGTTTGTTCTGCTTGCTCCAATGATGCCCGTGTGTGGCGAACTAGGCTGCGTTCCTAATTGTGTGGGTGATTTGAACGCCTGAATGTGTAGATGTCGCCTGAATGACCTCTGAGGAGAGGAGCGTGATTCTGGGTTGGGAAGGTGTCACCATGAAAGCAAAAACCTCAGAGCTCCAGCTCCGTTTAAAAGAAAGATTAAATAAAATGAGAGTTCAAGGAATGTCTCTTGTAGAAATAGCAGCTCTTTTGTGTTCGGTATATAAATAAAAATGAAGCACTTCTTACTTATTTGAAGCAAAATGTGAGAGAGCATGATGACATCTCTAGCTGCTATTTTCAGAGCATTTACCACTTACTGATCGTGTCATCTACTTTTCGTGTCCAGTTTACAAGAACCTGTTGCAAATAAAGAAATAGATCCTGAGATACTAAGTAACTTTTCCAAGGTCACACAGCTAGTGAGTTTCTGAGCTGGCTTTTTATCTCTGTAGCCTGTTCTCTTCTGCACTGCTGTGCATGAAAGTTACAGCACACTGTATGTGAAATTTTACTAAGTAACAGTTACTTGTTGAAGCCTCTCTGTTCTGTCTTTCTGCAGAACTGTGTTGATTTCTGGACCTTTGACTAGGAATTCATGGTTTTATCACGAAGCGTGTCCACTTCTTGTCATCTTACTGCATTGCTCCAGGGTCCAGCTCCTCATGGCCAACCCTTGTCTCCCATGCCCTGCAGATACCAGGCCACTGTCCTGGCCACTGTCCTGGCCGCGAGGATGCTCCTCCCCGTCCCTGCTACACTGCATGCTCAGACATGATGGCTCATTTCTGGCCTAGTTATGAAGTGCTCAGAGATACTACATCATCTTGATAGGGAAGAAAAAACACATGATACTAAAACATCTTGATGAACAGGAAAAAACTTGCATAATAACTTCATAACACTTATGAAAGAGACCATTGTATACAAACAGAAACCACTTACAAAGGATGCCATGGATTTTTTTTTTCCGGTTTTCAGTTTTTTATTAGTACATGGTTGCTGTGCATAATGACTGTATTGCTTGTGAGGAGTCAGTTCAGATACATAACATATCCTAATTGTTTTTATCCCTTTCTTCTCTTCTCTCAGCCTTTCCATATCTCAGTCTCCTTCCCTTTTGCAAAAGATGTATCGCCCTGTTTCCTACAATCTGTCTGTTTTCTGACTCTTCATTTATATTTTGGGTTTCTCATATAAGAGAAATGCTTTTTTTTTTTTTTTTTTTAAACCAAGTTAGGGTTTGTATTTCATCTTTAACTTTTCCTGAGGATAACTCTTTGTCTGAGTAGTAAAAACCAGTGCCTCAGTGGACCAAGGTCAAGGACACAGGCTGATGAGCTGGTTAGGGTGGAACAGGTTTGGGCTTACGTAGTCACTGCTTGAGACCCTGAGCTGCAGGACAGGGCCTTGTGTTAGGTGAAGAACTGGCCACTGTCTACACGTGACCCCGGTCTGCAAATGATAATGGTCTGAGTGTGCCCAGTATTTACCCCTCTGTTATGAAAGGGGCCTGGCAAGTTCAGGTGAATTTGAAGGCTGATCAGTTTGATTTTCTTTAAAATGCAAAATTTCTCTCTCAATGACTTTTAAGACCTATAAGATTAACAAAACCATGTAATTGGATTATACTTCTGACTCTCTTCTTTTCACATAAAAACATTTTACTTACTGTGTAGCAGCTTTGGTCAAGGGGAAGAGTATAGTCCTAAGAGTTAAAAAGCCTTGGGTATCAGCCTAGATTCTGCCATTTATTAATTTCATGCTTGTGGCCAGGACCCTTCATGCATTAAGCCTCAGCTTCCACATCCGTAATCTGGAGACGGTCGCCCCTGTTCTGCCCTTTTGCCTTGTACCATTAAATCCCACATGAGGTTAAGCATGAAAAAATGCTTTTTTTAACTAAATGACTTAGCATCAGTGTACTGAGAGATTGTTTTGTTTTGTTTTGACGTATTTCATAAAGGTGATTTTGTGACTTTGAGAAAGCTTCTTAGTCTCTCTGTGACTCCAGTGTCTCGTGTGTGAATGAAAGTTGCTGTAGAAATATAATGAGGTCCTATTGCATGACAAGTGCCAGCCAGTATTACCTTATCACTGTGAGGCTGCATCATGTGCTTAACGTACAGACTCCTCAAGAGCTGCAGAACAAACCCCCTGCTGAAGCTTGGATCCCTTCACGGTACCACGAGGTTGCCATTATTTTGTGTAATTTTTTTTTTTTTTTTTTTTTTGGTACCAGGGATCAAACTTGGTGATGCTTGCAAGGCAGGCATCACTGAGCTAAATCCTCAGTCCTATTTTGTGTAATTTTACGACCAAGATACTGATGCGAATTAAGGTTAAAGAGGTTTAGTGTTAAAAATGGTGAAGTAAGTTGTAGATAAGGAACAGTTGAGGATTCTCTACTCCATGGACAGCACTGCTATCTCAAAGGCAGACTGATGTGGGTGCTCATGCATCTGCACGGAGATTTTCTCCTTGATGTACCCGTAGCCTTGTGCAGTGGCCTGCACATAAGGCATAACCCTGCAGGCTGTGCATTTAAAACCATGTACTTGTACTCTAATTAAGGGATTTTTCGAAGCTTGTTTTGACTTTTTTTCAATTGCTGACTTTTGGACTGACCTTAGAGCCACTCACCTTTACCCAGCACGTCAGTGTGCAGCACTGTGAGTCCTTTTCAGGCAGCTGAGTGCTCCGGTGAGCTTATGCCGGCCAGCAGGAGCTGACTGCTAAGTTCTCTTGCAAGCTAGCTGATGGGCACATTGGAAGTGGGCTATGATGGAAGTGTGTACACCATGAAAATTGACAAATGTGAATCCGCACTTTTCCTGCAAAAGCCAATTGTTAAACATTATCAACACATCACTGTGTTTTGTATATATTAGAAGCATGAAATTTTAGCCAGATTAGGACCTTTAAGTGTCTGTGTCTATTTAGAAGAGACTTAGAAGAGAATGTGGCTTATGTGAAGGTTGTTAGTCAGAGGCTAGAGTTCATCCCAGGATTCTATCCATTCCTAGTCCAGCTTTCATTTTGTGGGACACTCATGAAAAAATATGAATCAAAACACAATCTCCAATTATAGCCTTTTTTTCTTTCTGTATCCTCAACAAAATACCTTTTCTTTTTCTGGAATATCTGTGTTGTTGTATTGTTAGTCCTGGGGTCCTGGCTTTTAGTATGCATGTAGAGCTTGAGTAAAGCTGATTTCATCTTTAAGACACAACAAAGAAAACCGTTTCTTTCAAATTGAGCTACTCATTATGGTATTAGAGCTTCTAAGGAATAAAATATCTAAGGAGACTTAGCATTCTTACGCTTATTTGCTACAGGGAGGAAAATCATTAGGTTTAATAATAACTTCAGAAGACACTGTGCTATTTAAGCTTGTGTATCTGACATTTCACTTAACCATATATTCTAAAGTTGCTTTTTTTTCATAGATGTGAGAAGAGTTTTCAAAATATTAGTATCTACTTGTGTTACATTAAAATAAACATTTGCTTAAAATAACTTTAGGAAGCAACTGTTTCCAGAACACAGAATTCTATTGGTGCTTTATCATACATGCTATCCTCTTCATAGAGATTTCAGCCCTGTCTTATTTTCCTGATGTAAAAATGAGGCCATTCTGAGACGTATAATGTCCTGACCTGGGCCACCCAACGCTGCAGTGAAATGTTGACCAGTGTGGAAAGGCAGTGCTCAAAAGGAGCTGCCACAGAAAGCATTTCATCTTTAAAGAAAGTTTTAAAACTTCGTATTTTAGAAATATTTTAAAAGTTATGTTAGAATGAAATGATTGCATTTAAAAATTTCTTTTGTGGACTGCAGCTGATTTTTGTTAATGTGTCATGTTGTGAAATTGGGGAGTTCTGTGAAGGAATGCTGCGAGCCTGGAGCCTCACCTTTCTTGTTGCAACAGAGCCTTGTAACCGAGTGAGTTTCAGAACCTTCTATCTGGAAGACTTATCAGGGCTTTGGCCTTGAAAGGAATGTCCTTCTCCTGATGTTTATTAAACAAGTGATGGGCAAGGCGGCAGAGCCTGTCTTGTGATTGGCAGAGGAGGACACTCGGTTTCTGGTCTTCAGCCCACTGAGATTTCTTTGGAAAGGATTGTGTCTGTGCGTGTTTCATATGTACGTGTAAATATTTTCACAGGGAATGAAAAAGACTCGAGTAGATGCAAAAAAAGTTGGTCCTCTGAAGTTGGCTGCCCTCAATGGGCTCTCCCTGTCTCGACTGCCTCTGCCCGATGAAGGCAAGGAAGTGTCCACCAGAGCGACGAATGATGAAAGGGTATGTGGATGAAGGGAGCTGGCTTTGTGGCTGTTCTGGGACGACTCGTGGGTACTGCAGAAATGTCTTTATGAGGGTTTTAGTGAATTTTCTAGCGTAAGTTAAGAATCAGAAATGAGTGTTGAGGGATCTTATAATCTGAGGTTATAATCTGAGCCACAGAATTGGACCCCTTCTTTAGCCAATGTCTCACTAGATAATCTCAGGCTTGGATGTTTATTTCTTGTTTCTTGACATTCTTCTGTGTCTTCTGCCAGCCACTGGGGCCGTCTTGGTGTTTGATGACCTTTAAGTGAATTATGAAAATGTATGTATATATACATAATAAAGAGGGCAGACACTGACTGTTTCATTATCTTGAAAATGTATCTTGAGGGGCTGGGGATTTAGCTCAGCGGCATAAGCACCTGCCTTGCAAGCTGGCAGTCGTACCGATAAAAAGGAAAAAGACAAAAAAAAAAAAAAAATGTATCTTGAGAGTAAACAGTTACCAGAGTTTTCAAAACTGTTTCGTGAGGTATATTTTCAATTCAATTTTATTATAAAAATCAGATAGCTTGAATTTGTTTACAACTCGGCCTAGAAGTGGTTTCCAGTTTACCCTTGTTTTCAGTATTTTATATATCATTTATTACAAAATGGAGTATTTGTAGATGTTAGAACTGGTTATCCTATTCTAAAATGGACAGTACTGCTCACTTGCAGAATTCTGTTTTTTTTTTTTTTTTTTTTTTTTTTTTTGTCTTTTTCGTTTTTACCGGTACCGGGGATCGAACTCATGACTGCCTGCTTGCAAGGCAGGCGCTTATGCCACTGAGCTAAATCCCCAGCCCCCAGAATTCTGTTTTTTAAACCTCACAAAATGAACCTTGACTGATTGATTGATTTTTGTTCTTTTTTGAGGCAGGTGACCATTAATTTACAGGGAAAAAATTCAATAAATTACTTCAGGCCAGTTTTTAACTTTAAATACAATTTTGCATTATTTGTCTTACTAACAAAGTTATACTTTTTAATTTTTGTTAAAATTTTAACGTTTGCTTCATGTAGAATTTTCAGTATTAGACAAAGTGGACTTGAAGCAGAGGACAGGATTGCAAATGTACAGCCAAAACACAGCAGTGCCATAACTGTATTCACGGTAGTCCGCATGTTCTATTTTATAGTGTAAAATGCTGGAACAGCGGTTAGAACAGGGAATGGTATTCACAGAATATGAAAGAATTCTTAAAAAGCGGCTGGTTGATGGGGAGTGCTCGACAGCCCGACTGCCTGAAAACGCAGAAAGAAATAGATTCCAAGATGTCCTTCCCTATGACGACGCGAGAGTGGAGTTGGTCCCCACCAAGGAAAACAACACTGGCTACATCAACGCGTCACATATTAAGGTGAGGGGACCGTGCGGAGCAGTAAATCACACACACAGTTTGGGGTAAGAATGGTCAGCACTATATTCTTGTCGGTATTCTAAAAGCACTCCAGTTTGGAACCATGTGACAACCATGTTAGAATCTGGAGAATCTGTACGTCAGTGCCACGTGAAGTGTTTTATCAGAGTCAGGGTCCTGTCCACGGCTCCATGTGGGAAACCACCCTGTCCCCAACTCTGTCATGAGGACTTGGGGGGCACTTTATTTTGCCTGGCTTTAGAACTTGTCTTTCTAAGTCTGAAGACCTCTTCGTAGCTCATGAAATTCTTGTTTAGCTGAACATGCAGCAGGAATGAAAAAGGCTCGAGTGGGTGTGGAAAACTCCTCCCAGGAGCTGCTGAGTTACTGTGTTTCCTCGTCACGTCCCTGCACGTGCTTTCATGTAAGGCAGACGTCTGGGCTCCTCAGTGTGTTCACAAAGCTTTGACTTCGGCAGGTGCCATCTGTTCTCTCTCGGCTGCTCTGTGATCATTTTTAAGTATCACTTTGTTCTGGGCGGGACTTTTTATCCTAGAAGCAGTCTGATGCCATTTATCTGGGGGCACATCACGTTCATTAAATTAGGAAAAGTGAGGATTCACCACAGGTGCTGAATAAAGCCAGATGTTCTGTCTCTCCTCCATCATTGTACCCTTTGTTCTCGACAGTTAAGACTTGCTTCTTTACCTTGGGAAGGAGAAATCTGCTAGCCAGTGAATGAAGAGGTGGTGATGGTTTAGTGTTAGTTTTCTTCCGTGTGCAGGTCATATTTGATAAGACACAACCTGACGCCTGAGGCTTTCCAAAGAGCCGGCACTGTCTGTGTGCTCGCTGGTGCCCCTTGGTGGTTCTGCAGCGACTGTGCATGTACTGTTCTGTCTTTGTATTTGGATATTATATACTTAAAAACCAGGCATTTAGGTTGGGGCTTTAGCTTAGTGCTGTAAGTGCCTGCTTGGCAAACTCGAGGTTGTGATTCTATCTCCAGTACAAAACAAAACAAAAATTTAGCCAGGAATTTAGCTCAGCGACGTAAGAGCCTGCCTTGCAAGGGAGCAGTTGTGAGTTCGATCCCTGGTACCAAAACAGAAAACAAAACAAAACAAAACAAAAAACAGGCCTTTGATTGGATAGATAAGAACTGACTGATATAGCAGTCACCTGAAGACTAGAGGAGAGAGGTGAGTTTCAGAACTGGATTTAGATGGTTGCTAGATACCTCACCCACCAGCTGTGAGAGCACTTTGCTCATCCCACAGTAAAGAAATGCAATGCCTTTACCACCACAGATTTTGCCTGCTGTGTAACCTGCAGACCCACCTGTCTGCCACTCAGAGGGCAGTTGGACTGGGGCCTGCAACGGGAGATGAGAGTGTGGGGGGAACAGGGATTGCATGGGGTTTAATAGGAGCTCAGAATATAGTTATTGCCTTCACTAAATATCAGTGAAGTCGAAGTTGAAGCCAGGCTACTGACCCACATGTTCAGTCATTACCCTGTTGTATTAGACTGTCCCCAAGGGTGTTAACCCTTAACTGGCAACTTGTATATCATAGAAACTTATCTTTTTTTTTTTTATTTTTTATTTTTTATTTTTTTGTCTTTTTCATTTTTATCGGTACCAAGGATCGAACTCACGACCGCCTGCTTGCAAGGCAGGTGCTTATGCCGCTGAGCTAAATCCCCAGCCCCGAAACTTATCTTGACCTAGAAGTTCAAAGGTGTGCTAGCATGGCACAAAAAAAAGTTCAGAAGTGAAACCATGTTGACTAGGAAGATTTTTTCTCCCTAGGAATATCTGACATTTAACTTGGGGTTTGGCTTTCAGTGTCAGTCCCTTTTCCATTGTCATTTATCACTTCATGGAGGGAATTGTGTTTGAAATTTGGCATAGCATGATGTTTATTACTTTCATAAGAGAAACCATCACAGGAATAGAGAAGTACTTATTATATGCCAGGAACCATATATATCTCCTCCGTCTTCACCGCCACCCTACGAGGTAGGCAATATTTATATTTGATAGCTGAGAACTGAGACTTGGAGGTTGTCAGATTGCCCCAGGTCATTTAGGTGTTATGAGAATTCACAGTACATACACAGTACATAAAAATGTCAATACTGCATGTAACATTGGTAAGAAGATTAAGAGTTAAGCCTGTTCTTATTCTGCTATGTAGCCGGCTTCACTGTTTTAGTCCTGCCACAAACACGTACAGAGGTTCACACACATATCTCCACACACAGACACAGAGTAATGTTTTAACCTTTTCTAATTCCAGGTCTCTGTCGGTGGAATTGAGTGGGATTACATTGCCACACAGGGACCATTGCAGAATACCTGTCAGGACTTTTGGCAGATGGTGTGGGAACAGGGAATTGCGATTATAGCGATGGTGACAGCGGAAGAGGTGAGTGCCCCGTCTCTGTGAATTGATTTTCTCAGCCTCCAAAGAACGGTTAACGTTACTCACACAGAATGCTGACCTTTGGAGTCCAAGGTGAGGTGGGTGGATCTGCCTCTGCGAAGGGCGCCGTGGCTGGTCTCGTGCTGCCCTTCAGCCGTGCTTGTCTTTAACAGGAGGGCGGAAGGGAGAAGAGCTTTCGGTACTGGCCGCGCCTGGGTTCCAGGCACAACACTGTCACTTATGGGAGGTTTAAGATCACAACCCGCTTCCGCACGGACTCCGGCTGCTATGCCACCACGGGCTTGAAGATGAAGCACCTTCTCACGGGGCAGGAGAAGACAGTTTGGCATCTCCAGTACACAGACTGGCCCGAGCACGGCTGTCCTGAAGACCTCAAGGGATTTCTGTGTAAGTGTCTTTGTTTCCAGGCCAGCCTCCTCCAGCCGGAGGAGAAGACTTTGTTTCTGAAATGCTTCCTGCTGTCTCATACAAGATTTAGAATTGCTGGGTGTGGTGGTGCATGCGTGTAATCCTAGCACTTGGGAGTTGAGGCAGGAAGATCCATTGCGAGTTCGAGACCAGCCTAGGCTACAAAGTGAGCTCAAGGCCAGCCTGAACTGCGTAGTGAGGCCTTGTCAAAAAAAAAAAAAGATTTAGACTTGCGGTAAAATACAGACTATCCGTGCTTTACAGAGGTTTGCCAGGAGGTACTTTAAAGATACAGTTTGACAGCAAGTGGAGCTCACTACCAGCCCTCAGGTCGGTCGTATCTCTCCAAGGGGCAGAGAGTCAGAGGCGCTGATTTTCCCACTGCCTGGCGCCCAGAGCTCTCACCTGCAGCGCTCTCAGTCAGTGGAGAGAGTATGAGAATTGAGTTGTCAATTAAATGCTCCATAATCCTGAGAGTTTTTCTCCTTCCTTGATTTGCCACAGCATACCTCGAAGAGATCCAGTCTGTTCGACGCCATACTAATAGTACAAGTGAACCCAAAAGCCTCAACCCTCCGCTGCTGGTCCACTGCAGTGCTGGGGTAGGAAGGACCGGTGTTGTCATCTTGTCGGAGATCATGATCGCCTGTCTGGAACACAATGAGGTGGTGACTTTTCCACTAAGTCTGATCTTTTTCAATGGGGAAAATAACAGGCTGGGCAGGAGTAGGGCATAGTCACTTAGAAGGTCTTCTGGATGCATTTCCTGGGACTGTGGTGGCCACAGAATGTTACTGTATTCCCTGCAAAAGATGGTGTCTTCCTGCAGATTTTCAGTGCCCTCCTGGCTTACTAAAGATTAAGACCTCCTCCAGTAAACAAGGCTAACTTTCACAGTTGAGCTCATAATCCTTGTTTTTCCTGGAATACCTTTTACTGTTTTAGGGCTCATTAGTATGGGCTGCTATCTCCTTGGGAAATGCTGAGCTAGACTCTTAGACCACTTAGCACGCCGTGTTACTGTTGAATGTTGGTGTATTTGGCAAGAAAAGTAAATTTATGTAGAACCAAAATCAGAGAGCTACACGCAGTGGATGCTGAAGAAACTGTGTGCATGGCTGTTCTGTCTGTGCTTTAGAGATGCCGGCAGTCACGGCTTACAGCAGGTGCTGAGGGAGCCCAGAGACTCTGTCTCCTGGCCAGAGGTTTGCTAGGGCACATACTCACCATCAGCCTTTCTCTCCCCTGGGGAGAGCATCCCCTTCACCACTGTTTCCTCGCCCTAGGTGCTGGACATCCCCAGAGTGCTGGACATGCTCAGGCAACAGAGAATGATGCTGGTCCAGACCCTCTGCCAGTACACGTTTGTGTACAAAGTGCTCATTCAGTTCCTGAAAAGCTCCCGGCTCATCTAAGCTCTCACACCTCCTCACGGGACCCAATCACTGAAGCGTTAACAGCTTAAAAAAAAGAAAGTGCTTGCCTACCTTCCACTTTCTGCTCGATACTTGAGCACACCAGAAATCCATGAGGACAGGAATGGCGCAGTGTGAGTCGCAGCGCGCTAGGGGGAACCTGCAAAGCACAAAGCAGAAGAGGGGGACCTGGGACCTGGCAAAGGTGCTAGAGGAGGAGGACTCGGTTTTGAGGGCATTGTCCTGCCGGCGTCTGTCGGATTTGCAGTACTTGCACACATTGTGGAGATTGTATTTTCTAGACAATTCTGTTTTACTGAAGCTATGCTGGACAGTTCTGGCAATCATGAAAGCCGATATTTCTGTCTTACGCTAGTTTGGGATGATGGAATTTTATGTTATGACTAAAATATTTAGGGGTTTTCTTAGTGACAAAATGAGCTTTCTATGGGGATGATCCACAGATTGAGGTGTTTGTGTATAACATTGTGTTTAAAACCATGTTATTGTGTTATTTTTTTAAAAAAAAAAATCTTTGGGTACTTAATGGCTTAGTTATGGAACTCAAACTATAAGGAGAATCTGAAAGTGTTATTTTGAAACATAGCATTTTTATATTCAGAAATTTTTTTATCCTACAAATTCTATATATTTGTACCTTCTGTATTTTCCAAACTGCTCATGAAGATACTGAAATGAGTCAGTTAATGTAAATAAAAGTTGGGAATGAAGGCACATTGTTTAAATGCAAGAAAATCAGGTTCACTATTTTTTCAGTATTATTCATAAGCCTTAATGAGTTTGGTTTTATTGGCTGAAAATGAAAAAAACAATTACATAGGATGGTTTTAAGCACTTTTTCTGTTAAAAATGAAACCTGAGTTTTAATATATGTTTTGCTTTGTTATTTGAGTGTGTCTTGTGGAAGAGGGTTAAGAGTACGTGGGACGACAAGCACAGGAGGAAGTGGCACGCGATGGGAAAGCAGGATGCCCTTGTCTTTACAGAAATGCAGTATTATCTACACTCAGATGGGGACACCAGGATGGAGAGCAGGGCTCGAGCGAGCGGGCCATGCCCAGGCTTCTCCCAGGAATTCACGGCCGGCCACTGCCAATAACTCAGTTTTCCCCCTACAAGTAGAGGTTTATATTATTCCAAAAAGCCTTGAAAAGGCTTTATTTTATTTTGATTGCAAGAAGGAAGTGGTAAATAGATTCAACTCTCCTCCTAAATCTACAGCCTGGATTTGTGGAGCAGCAGAAATTGCTGTGGTCCTGGGTGGTCCTTGCAGTTTACCCGCTTGCTCCTGTACTTCAGCCCTGGGATGTTTTAAGTCCCCTCTCCCCCAGCCCACTGAGGCACCGGTGACAGACAGAGCCAGGCTGAGCTGACGGAGAGCACCGTCCTTGGCCAGGCTCGGGAGGCCTCTTCTGCCTTCGCTGCCTACTGCCCAGTGGGTAGGATGAACGGGGACTGCTCCCTGGGGAGGCATCTGCTTTTCTCGGGTTCTGAGGCCGATTCCCCACAATGGAGAGCTTCTAGGATATCAATTCTAGAGTTATTTCCCCAGATCACAAGATTCTAAGCATTTTTCTCATTCTCACTTCTTTCCCAAAGCAGTTATCTCACTATGATAGCAGCTACATTCATGTCATCGGCCATGGGACAGGACTTCCTAGGCGTTGGGGCAGGTTTAACTCCATCCTGGAACCAGCCACGCGGGGGAAAATTCAGAGGATTGTAGTGCAAGGCGGCCCTGAAAGTGGACATGCTTCTCACTTAGCAGTAAGATATCAGTTTTAAATCTAAAGTCATCTTCAAACTTCTAGTGAAAGAATAATAGACTCAAGTGAAAATATTCAGAAAAAGCTACCCAGGAGAATTGGAGTAAAGAGGTTTTTAAGAAAATAATATTTTCCATCTCCACACCACTTTATAGTACAGGATTTTTTCTGAAGCTTTTTGTTTTCCAATGGTACATTTTTGAAGAAATGCCTATTAGGCTTACATTTTGAAGTGACCATTGACAAGAACATACTGTAAAGCAAGAGTCTAATTAAAGAGTAATATATGGTATATTTGTGTTCCTGTTGTAAAAATTTGTTAAGCAAAATTTTTTTTTTTTGGTACCGTGAATCGATCTCAGGATCTTGCATTTGCCAGACAGGCACTGTGCCACTGAGCTATATCCCCAGCCCTGTTAAGTAAATTTTTAAGAGGGAAAAATTATACTGTTTAAGTCTGTCACTCTTAAAATGTCATATTTGACATCATTTATAAGCACCATGTAATTTTAAATTTTAAATCGCAGGTAGTGAATATGAAAGAATTTCTAAATAAAAATAAATCTACACTATTGGACTTTAAATAATGTGACTTGCAAAAGCAAATTATGTAGAACACTGAGGTGTTCCATAGGTTTACTGTGGAATTGAGGGTGTTACTGTTGGCCAGCCTGACACATACAATGCTTTGTATCTTAGTGTCTTTCAGTTCCTTAATATTGATTTCATACTAGAATTCCCAAAATGTACATTTTCACAAAAAAGTAGGTTATAAACCAATGTTTCTACTGATCACCTTTGGTATTATTTCTGGCATCAGTTTTTCTGATGATGGGGGGGGGTCCTACCTTGAAATTTTCTAATTGATAGTTTTGAGCACAGACAGTGATCATTTTAAAATATAATCCAGGATGTTAATTATAGCATCGTTAATTATTTTCTTCTGGAACCTCTACTGTGAAGCATTCAGGAAGCCATAGAATTTAGTGTTTGAAAGACTCCGTGGCAGAATTAAAACAAGCTGGACCTGTGCTTTGTTTTTAGAAACTTCCGGAAACAGAAATATCTAACCTGAAACACAGAGGAGGGAGGAGAATGTCACCTCAAATACGCTGATTTATGGATGTTCTCAATAGTAGGAAAAGGCGAATATATCCGTAAAGTGTACAGCTACACAGCGTGTTAGAGGTCAGCCACAGTTCATCAAGAACAAGTTAGGATTGCAGGAATGGATGGAAACAGGGACTGCTATCATAAATGTTTCAAAGCTACAGATTGAAGTAATTTTGGGGGAAGGGAAGACTTTTTTTAAAAAGATTGTCTTAGATATAAATGTAGGAGAATTTATCACCAAGAAGGCTGCATAGCTAGAATGATTCCTTCCCAGTTGGAATTTTATTTTAAAAGAATCTCAAATTCCAAGAGAGTCCTTTTTGAGCCAAGGGATAGACATTTGAGAAGTAGAAAGCTGCATTAAGGATTTGCTTAAAACCCAGATGTGGTACACATACTTGTAATCCTAGCACTCAGAAGGCTGAGGCAGGAGGATGGCTGGGAATTCAAAACCAGTCTATCAAGTAAGTTCAAGGCCAGCCTGACCTATATATTGAGTCCTTGTCTCAAAAAACAAAATGACAAAAACACTTTTTTTTTTTTTGCCTGAGAAAACATTTCTCAAAGATACCCAAGTTTTTCAAATTCCTATAGACAAGGGCTTCATTTAGCCTGTCATCTGTAGTTCCTTACAGAAAAAAGAGGAAATATTAGAAAGTTCGAAGTTTGTGTTTTGGAGGTGGATGAAAGTTCCTTGGATTGTTGACGTCATGTAATTTTCTGTATGTTTCAGGCAGTTCCAAAATTTAAAAAAAAATTGCTGTAAAAGCTCACTTCTGTACTGAATTGAAGTGGTACTGAGATTTAACTTTCTTAGTTTGTCCCCCTAAAGGTTGCATAAGTGTCAGGGGGCCCGAAAGGTAAAAGGTACAGAACCACCTTGCCGTTGCCAGGCAGTGGTCACTGAGACTCAGAATCAGTGGAGACAGATGAGCCAGTGTCACAGAGGCGACTCAGATCCGGGTAGCTCGGCATTTGCTGTGGAGACCTGAGCGGTGGGGTCAGGGACGGGGAGGAGTGAAGTGGGCAGCAGCCTGTGAAGCCTCTGGTGGGCAGGGTCAAGGAGGGTCAGCTGGCAAAATACAAGGGATTGAAATGGAGGGGCAAGGGTGGCAGCTGAGCAGGAGGTGTAAGGTCTGCAGCACCCGGCTGAGGGGGCTGCAGTTCCAGCGGGGTGGTGCTGTGGACAGGGTATCTCTAGCTCACTTGTGAGTAGAATTAATGAAGGTCTGCCTGCCTGTGGTTTCCACACACGTTTAGTCCTGTGTACCTGAAAAAATGCTTTTCAAAGTCTGTGCAAAAATTAAACATTTTTCAAATATTGATGGGTTAAGAAAAGGATAGTAAATGTATGCTTTTAGGTTAAGCTTTAGCATAAACAAGGACAAATGCACACAGGAAAGGAATAATTATTTGCATTTTTTTTTTTTTTTTTGGTACTGGGAATCGAACTCAGGACCTTACATTTGCTAGGCAGGTGCTTATGCTGCTGAGCTATACTCTGGCAACTGTTTGCCTTTCTACCTGTAGAACTTGTTAACAGTATGTCTTACGTAGGGTTCCAAGTTTCTGAAAGTTATTGGAGAAGTGTTTTTGTCATTATTCTTTAACTTCTATTTAATGACTTTGTGGTGTATCAAACAAAAGGACCATTTAAAATCTGTGAAACCCTTGGCTTTGTGCACAGGTAGACAGTGTGATTTCAGTGTAAAAAAATGCAATTTTAACTCAACTGGTAGGTCGATTTTGAACCGTTAAAAAAGAGAATTTATTTCAGTCATCAAACATGGATACTTTTGACATTTTAGTGTACATGTGTATTTTAAATTTGCACTTAAAAATTGGTGAAACAAAAATCTACAGAATTCACTCTTTAGAGGAAATCTATACTGCCAAAGAATTTCAGAAAGTTAGATTATTACTGGGTTAGGAATTTGAATGTCAGGTCTTAGTTTTTTGAGTCTATTGATAAGGCTGGTACAGATTTAATGATAATTGCCTTTCCATTTCCATTTGCTCATTCATCAAATGAGAACTGAGCAAATGAATGAGAAATGTCAGTTTCGGTGCTCACTTTTTATAATATGACAGGTCAGACTGTTCCATATACGAAGAGACTATTCAAATTATTTTTATTGTGAAAGTTTTATTTAAAGATCACCTAAAATTAATGGATCACTGAATGAGACAAATCTTTGGTTACTTATAGTGACATTTATTAATGTCTTAATTTTATAAAGTGTCCTGAAAGCGTTTTGGTTAGGCTTTGTATTTTCCTGGAATAATACTAACACAGCATGAGTGCAGTTCAGTAAATAGTCTGAGAGAAGTAAAAATACCCGTCAGTGACAAAGTATCTCCAGAGCAAATTTAATAAGGACAAGGTTTAAAATAATATGAAACCATTAAGGCCACATGAGTCAAACACAAAGGAAAAGAAAAAGTATACGAAAATACAGTGACCTGCAGCCCCTACCATGGCAGAGCTGTGATGGGTTTTATTCACATAGTTTGGTCTTTGTGGCATAATAGAGAAATCAAGGAAGTAGTTATTATGTAAGGATGATTCTTAATATTTTTTCCAAAACTTCTAATAATATGGTCAGTTTGTTCCTGCCCATATTAGAGTTTTTTACAGTTCTATACTGTAATCAAGTTAATTTCCAGTGGAATTGAATTATTATATATTACTCAGTATAATCAAATTCTAAGCAAGAGATTAACGATGATAGAAATATAGAAGTATTTGTCAGTACCTCACACTTATTTAAAAAATTGATACAATTAAACGTTACTCAAAAGACTGATTGGCATAGCTAGATGTGGTGGTGCACACCCATAATCCCAGCACTCGAGAGGCTGAGGCAGGAGCATCATTATGTGTTTGAGGCCAACCTGGGCTACATAGCAAGATTCTGTCTCAAAAACAAAACAAAAAAAAGGACTGATTGGCAATGGGCTGATATAATTTGCTTTTGTGTGTGTTCACAAGTCATTTTTACATTAAAATATAAAATATGTACATTTTTATCTGTAAGTTTTAAAATGCCACACCTAGGAGTAATACCCGGTGTTTGTTGCTGTTACAGAATACCTGAAACAGTACCTTACGGTCATGGAGGCGTGTTGAGGGGCCTTGCAGCTTGGTCTTTGGCAGAAGGCACATGTGCATGTGTGCGTGGATGTGTGTATGCATGCGCGCGACCACGCTCTTCACAACACTCTCCTGAGATGCCGTAATAACATGGATCCAGGGGTGGGGTATGGCTCAGTGGTTCAGTGCCTGCCTGGCAAGCGCAAGGTCTTGAGTTCCAATTTCTGGTAGCAAAAAACAAAACAAAGCATTGATCCATTCACAAGGGCTCTGCCTCCTGAGCGTCCTACTTCCCAGTGCCACTGCACTGGGCATTAAGTTCCCAACAGATGGACCTGGGGGACACATTTAAGCCATACCATTAAGTATTTTCTATGATGTCATCTCACTATTGTATTTTGTAGAGGAAAATGTAAAACTAAACCAACAAAAGGTTAATGGGATTTGATGTGCCTAACAAACAAAAACAAAATTTGGAGCAAAATGATTTGAAATATACTTCAGGGAAGAATGCATTGGGAATTCTAACCTTTCAAAATAGTAGAATTTTTGTCTACTTTTTTTGTTTAAAAAGCAACTTTATGTGCTGTTGTTTGAAGATAAAATAAAAATGTCTAATCATAAAAGCTTAATTCTAAACTTGGTTTATAAAGCAGTGTACATTTAATGGGCAAAAGCTTGAATGGCTGAGTGTATAATATGTGAAATGAATATATGATAGTCTATTTTTGCCATGAAAATAAATGTATAAAGAAAGATATGACTTGTGTGGAAATATAGTGTAATTAAATCTATTTTGCCTCTTGTTCACGACCGATCTTTTAGATATAGGTATATAATTAAATTAGTCCCATTTCTCCACTCCACTCCTTAATGTGCTGTGCAAGAGATGTTTTGATAAGTTGCCAGCCTGTTGTCACATCTCCACAGTAATTACTTATTTGAAAGTTAGAATGCAGCTTGTCAAAATAACCAGCTTTGGTGGCCAGGGTATTTATGGACTAAGTAGTACAGCTGAAGAATAAGTGTTAGTTGGTATAGTTCCCAACAATGCCAACTTTGCAGTGGGTCTGTGGAGCTCCTCTGGTTTTCCTAGTAGTGTAACTTACTGCTATTTGTTGGTTTCTACTCCTATACCTTTTAATGGTGTTATTTCTAGACCACACCAGCAGCATCTGGAATCATATTACAAATGTGAATCCTTCAGTTGTACCCCAGATCTGAAATTCTGAGTTAGAAACCATGGTGTCAGGGCCAGAAATTTGCCTTAACATGTTCTCGAGGGCATTCTGATGCACATTGGTTTGAACCAATGTTTTACTAATTAAAAAGCTACAGATGTTCAACATGGATCCCAATTTGGGATTCATTATATAGCTGAACTACAATTAATAGGCTCTGAATTTTGGCAATTTTGTTACTAGATCAGTGATATTTATAGTCGTAAGATGAATAATGGCTCCCCAAAGATAACCACACCCTAATCCCCTGAAGTTGTAAATGTTCTTTTATATATAGTAAGAGGGACTTTTCAGCTGTGATTAAATCAAGGATCTTTAAATAGGGAGATGATCCTGGATTATCCAGCTGGGCTCCAAGCAATAACGAAGGTCTTTAGAGAGATATATTTGAAGACGCTACTGGACAGGAGGATGGATGGAGGAAGCCACAAATGAAGGGGTCTGGTGGTTTTGGAAACTGGAAAAGGCAACCTCTCCCCCTGGGCCCACCCAGAGGAGTGGAACCACGGCAAGTCCTTGCTTGTAGGACCTCTGACTTTAAAACTGTTGGTGGTAGCCTTAGCAGCAGTAGGACACCAGTACAGTTGTACAATCTCCCTTTCAGGAGGAGTGTGAAGATTAACTTACCTATTTGAGGTCTCCAAAGTACCAACTGAGTTTTGGAAGCACCACGTTGAGGTCTATTGGATGTTTTTGTATCAGAATTTGCATGTTTGTACAAACCAGAATTCCCAAGACCACAAGGTTGGCCTTGGAGCAAAACTTTACTTACCCCAAACCAAACTGTTTCTCCTGGCCCCTGAACACGTAGAGTTGTCTCTTTGGGATGTGCCACTCAGTACTCATTCCATCTGGCTGCTTTTAGAAGGTCTAGGGAAAGTAGCTTGTTAGGGTGCCATCTTCTGTCTTGAGAGTGAAGTCCTTCCTCTCAAAAACCTTAGTCTTCAGTGTAGACAAACTGGCTAAATGAGCAGTGTAAGCCATACTTTCTGTAGGAAAGCTTTCAGGCTCCACACCCCAGAGGTGGGGTGGAAAGGGACAAATGCTGTGGCGGACTGTCAAGGTTTCAAAGTGGTGTCACATTCAATCTGGGCTATAAATGAAGGCGCAAGGGTGCCACAGAGGAGCAATGATATTTTGAGCAGACACCAGGTGCAAGGGCATGAAGAGGGAGGCTCAGGAAAGAGCAATTAGGTATGACACTTAGGATGCCTGAGATAGTGTTATGGTTTGTGTTTGGATGGCCTCCCCAAGCCTCATGCAATCATGGAGGCTGCTGAAACCAGCATTTGTGATTGACTCATTGTCTAGCGCTGGGATTGATGGTGTGAGTGCTGCACCCACCCAGGCAGGCGGAGCCGGCATATAACATGAGAGGGAAGGAGGCGTGCTTTCTCTCTTTTGCTCTGTTTGCACTTGCTGTTGGCTGCTGCCATCAAAGGCTGCCCCTTAGCTATGCCACCCTGCCTGGGAACCAGCTGAGTATGGACTGAACCACCAAAAAACTAAGCTAAATAAACCTTTCCTTGCTTCACTTTGGGTATCAGGTGTTTTGTCTCAACAATGAGAGAAAAGTAACCAAGACAGGGAGAGATTAGCCAGAGTATAGCAAGGAAAGAAAAAGCAACTATCAAAAATGCCAAGAGGCTAGGACTTTGTCTTGTTAGCAAGGGGTAACTCTTTAGTTGATAGCAAGTTCCAATTGGAACTTTTTTTTTTGGTGCTTGTTCTGGCATGTCCTGTTGCTCAGCTGGTTACTCGTTATAGGCTACTGAGAATATAGAGGTCTTTGTACACTGTAGCTACTTCTGGCTGAAAGGGGTTGTAGGCCCGAGCTACTGGTTCTCTCCAACTACCTCAGGATGTCTTGGCTTACCAGCAGGGTTGAAGACAAAACCTGTCAGAAGATGAGAAAAGAGTTTGCATTTATATGGGAAGGACAGCTGAGCAGCCTGTTTGATGGGAGAAAACCTGATGAGTTTGTCAGGCCAGAACTTGACTATCAGGTTTGGGATGCTTCATGTAGAAGAGAAAGTATGGGAAAGAGGGATGTTAGATAAGTTACCAAGGGCCTGAGAGCTGTAGTCTTAGCAAGATTACCTGTGTTGGGGCTGGGGATTTAGCTCAGGGGCAGGAGTGCCTGCTTGGCAAGTGTGAAGTTGTGAGTTCAATGCGTCGTACAAAAAAAACCAAAAGCAAACAACAACAAAACAAAAAAGATAAACTGTGTTATGGATCTAATTAAAAACAGGGTACCTGTTCAAGCTGTGGTAGATTCTGGATACTTACGTGCATCCACAACGGTACTGGAGTCTTGCTTTTAGAGGAGGAGCCTCAGGTCTTCCAGAGGTGCACAGGTACACTTTCTTCTTTGGTGGTGGCCTCTGTTTGCTAGAGTTATTATAAGCAAGCACACAGATCGGTTTAGTCACTGCTCTCTTAGTCCTATGAAAATCTGAGAAGATCTGAGTGATCATTTCCCATGTAAGATTTTTATATAGTCCTCTACTTGAGGAAGGACTGGAATGGTTCCTCAAGAATGGGAAATAAGGGGCCAGGGATTTAGCTCAGTGGCATAAGTGCCTGCCTGGCAAGCGCAAGGTCCTGAGTTCGATCCCCAGTATTGCAAAAAAAAAAAAAAAAAAAAAAAAAAAAAAAAAATCCAGAAGAATGGGAAATAAGACTAAGATTACTTGAGGGGCTGCAAGGCTGCCCTTCTTATCTCCCTACCAGCCTGTTGATTTCCCAAGACTTTAAACATGTCTCTTTGGTGTCCCTTACAATGAAAGACAACAACCTGCTTGGGAGACAGATGCCTGTAGGAGTTGTAGAGTTTGCAGATTGTGCTTAATGACGACTGTTTATTAGTTAGCAAGCCCCTTTCTTTCCAGACTGTGGCATGGGCAGGTGGCACCAGAAAGGGGTATTTGGAGTCTGTGTATTTAGTCTTTTGCCTTTTCCTAATATTAATGCCCAAGTTAGGGATGTGAGCTCTGCTTTTTAAGTAGAGCTCCCCGGAGGAAGGGGCGGCCTTAATGACCTGTTGAGAAATGACAGCTGCATAACTTGGCTTTCCATGTCCTTCTTGGCCAAAGCTACTTTTGTCAATGAGCCACACCTCCTCAGGTCTTGGATGTCACACCTTCAGGTTCCTGATGTCCAGCCTGCTTGAATAGGTCCGAGAAATCACTTGTTAGGCATCAGTGAAGGATGATTGAGTCGTTATGGTAACCTCAGGGTATATAGAACCATGGCCTGGCATAGCTCCAACAGGTAAGGTTTGCTTGAGCATCTGCTAGGATTGGAGACTTGCTCCTGGTTTGTTAGTAAATCTCTCTCTAGCAAAGGAGTAAGATGCTGTGGAACAATTAACTCATGGGTGAACTACTAACTCATGACATGCAGGGTCACTCGATTTTTTGTTTTTGCAAGAGACAGAGATATCTGTGGAAAGAGCATTGTAGGTTGCCCCAGTCTCCCTTAGTCCTCTTCACTGAAGTGAGAGATGAGGGTTTGGGAGCAGAGACAGTCAATCCTCTCAGTCTCCAAGTCAGGCACATGGGCTGCCTGACGCACAGTACAGAGCTCCAGCAGTAGCTTGTACAATCATGTGCCTGGTGTCCAGTTTTCTTGCCGCCTTATTGGCCCTGAGTTTTCCTTTGGATCTCTTGGATGTACTTAAAGCACTGCCAGCTGGGAAGCTGTAATTTTGGCCTGTCCTTTTGTCTCTGTCCTTTCTCCTTTGTCCTAGCAAAGATGAGACTCTGAGCACAATGAAGGTCCCAAAAGAGTGAGAAACCTGAACAGGGTCCTGGGAAAAACAAAAACCTGAGGGAAATGAAACGAAAATGAAAAACAAAACAAAACATACTTAGTTACTTGTCTCACTGTTGAGACAAAATGTTTCATACTCAGAGTTAAGGGAGGAGAGGTTTATTTCAGCTCACGGTCTGTAGAGGTTTCAGTCCCTGGCTGGCTCCCGGGCAAAGTGGCAGGGCACAGGGGCAGAGGAGAAACAGTCTGTGACAGAGAAAGCGGGCAGCAGCAAGCAGGAAGCCTGCATTTCCCTTCTATCCCATCCGGGTTACAAGTCTTTTGGGTGGTGTCGCCTTCGCCCAGGGTGGGCATTCTTGTTGGCTTACTGAACAAAAGTATTCCAGATCCATCTGGCCTCAAACAAAGAACTGGATGAGACAGGCCAAATGGTGCCAAAAGTTTATTTGAAAAGTAAGGGGTGAAAGGGTAAGGGAAAAGGATAAAAGCAAAAATAAAAGCGTCCCCTGCATCCAGGTGCCTCAGAGTGGGCTACTGTGAGGAGCCATGATGGTGGGCTTCTTGGGTCTGGTGCCCATTATGCCATCCACATCTCATGGAGCTTTTGGGAAGCCCTGCATACAGTGTTGGGGAAGCATCAGGCACCACCCTGGGATTTTAAAATTGGCAGGTCCTGCCCACTTCTCCAGTTAATTTGGCCACATCCTACTGCCTGTATCTTTCCTATTATCCACACCCAGAACTA